GCAGGATGCTGGTACCTGCAGGATGCTGGTACCTGCAGGATGCTGGTACCTGCAGGATGCTGGTACCTGCAGGATGCTGGTACCTGCAGGATGCTGGTACCTGCAGGATGCTGGTACCTGCAGGACGCTGGTACCTGCAGGATGCTGGTACCTGCAGGATGCTGGTACCAGTTCCTGCTGCGGTTGTGCGCTTCCGCTCGCGGCGGCCGCTGCGGATGTCGCGGTGACGTCGTAAGTTGTTACGACGTCGTAGGTTTGTTGCGACTTCGTATTCTAAGACGTCGTAAGTTTTTTACGGCATCGTAAGCTAAAAATAGTAAGTTTTTCACGACGTCTTAAGTTTGTCACGACATCGTAAGCTAAGACGTCGTAAGTTTGTTACGACGTCGTAAGCTGAGACGTCGTAAGTTTGTTACGACATCGTAAGCTGAGACTACGTAAGATTATTCCGATGTCGTCAGCTAAGACATCGTAAGATTATTCCGACGTCGTAAGTTTGTTACGACGTCGTAAGCTAAGACGTCGTAAGATTGTTCCAACGTCGTAAGTTTGTTACAACGTCGTAAGCTAAGACGTCGTAAGATTGTTACGACGTCTTATGTTGGTTACGGCGTCGAAAGCTGTGATTAAGATATCGTAACAATCTTACGACATCTTAAGTTGGTTACGATGTCGAAAGCTAAGACGTCGTAAGATTGTTACGACGTCGTAAGTTTGTTCCGACGTCGTAAGCTAAGACGTCGTAAGATTGTTAGCGCGTCGTAAGATTTTTACGACCTCGTAAGTTTGTTACGACGTCGTAAGCTTGTTACGACGTCGTAGGTTTGCTACGACTTCGTAAGTTTGCTACGACGTCGTAAGCTAAGACGTCGTAAATTTACTACGACATCGTAAGTTTTTTACGACGTCATACGTTTGCTACAAGGTCGTAAATTTGTTACGACGTTGTAAACTGAGATATCTAAAGTTTGTTACGACGTCGTAAGTTTTTTACGACGTCGTGTTTGTTACGACGTCGAAAGGTAAGACGTCGTAAGGGAAGACGTCGTAAGTTCGTTGCGACGTCGTAAGCTAAGACGTCGTAAGTTTGCTACGACGTCGTCAGGGAAGACGTCGTAAGGGAAGACGTCGTTGTTTGCTACGACGTCGTAAGCTAAGACGTCGTGAGTTTGATACGACGTCGTCAGGGAAGACGTCGTAAGGGAAGACGTCGTACGTTTGCTACGACGTCGCAAGCTAAGACGTCGTAAGTTTGATACGACATCGTAAGTTTGCTACGACATCGTAAGTTAGTTACGACGTCGTAAGCAGCAGGAGGCGGGACGGGCCGGTGCGGTTGACCGATTACGAGCGGCGGAACCGGAATAGCAGCACCGGTTCCGCCGCCTGCCCGGGGCGGCGGGGCGGCGGTTCACAGCGCACCAGTGATGATGGTGGTGCTGGTGTCACCATCATTAGCTAATACATCATCATTATTGCTTTAATTCAATGATTAGTCTTATTATTTATTTAATTCAATTATTATTCATTATTCGCAAAGGAGCAACCATGACAGAGAGAGAGGAAGGGAGCGGGGTTAGGTATATAAGAATAAATATATAAGTTTAACACTGACTACGATTGCTTCATTTTGTACTATTATTTGTTTTTTGTACTGTTTTTAAACAGGGTTGCCAGACGGTCATTTTTTCCGGACAAATTCCGTGATTTAGTTTTTCCTCAATTGCGTTGGCCGGCTAAAATTTATGATAAAGGTACTTCCTAATTAAATTTTAAATACTGTAAAAATAAAATAAATAGAGTTTTTATAGTGAAACCTACAAATAAACTAGTATATTTTGAGTTATCGGCCTTTTTTGGCCTTTTTTGTTGTCGGATTTGGCCGATTTTAGGCAACCTGAATTATGTACCACTACGTCCTGGAGAAATACATTTCGTGGTACGCATATGTACCACTTCGAAGTCAACGTGTTAAATATATAAGAATAAATAGATTAGATAGATAAATAACACGAAATAAGTAATAAAAACAAGAGAAAAGAATATAAGTATAAACGGCACAGGATCATAAAAGAAGTTCTTTTAAACAACAAGAACAAATATTGAAGGGGATCATAAAATATTCCTTCAATTTTATTATTAATTCTCTAGCTGCGTTCTATATTTACATTGCCGCTGTAAAATAATCTATTAACTTCACATTATCTACTCACCGTCAGTAACATCACTACTTCCGCCTCGTTGGCTCAGGGTTGATAATGTTATACTCTTTACCTGGGAAATATAAATATAGTTTATTTTATAAGTTTGAAACGGGCGTTTCAACACATCATAATTTTCGGTGAGGAAATATTTAATTACATTTATTATAAACGATATTATTATAAATATTCATTATAAACAAGCATTCGGCGCTCAAAAGTCAATCATTTGATGATATTAATTATCAATAGGAAATGACATGAAAAAATTTATAGTGAATGACAAACTCATATGAAATAGTCAATAATAATGATTAATAATATAAATATAAATAAAATTAATTCCGTACAAATCTCCTACACCAGAAATTCATTCGTTTATAAGGGTTACGGTTATAATAATTGAGGTTATTTTTAGTTTTATTATTATTTAGTTCATTAGGATTAAGTTTCAAGGACCAGCGGTCAAGAATCCCGGAAATTCCATTGAAATTTTAATAAAAAATAAAAATTTCAAATAAAATTTCAATGTAAGCATAAAAAAAGTTTGTACTGAGCAGGTTTAGCAGTTCATTTAAACGCAGGTCAGGATTAAGCATTCAAGTCTCCTTTATTTATTGTAATTATTATTCTACTCGCATGGTATGTAGGCACCCCACATGGCATGTTGTCTGGGCGGTGGTATGTAGGCACCCCACATGGCATGTTGTCTGGACAGCGGTGGTATGTAGGCACCCCACATGGCATGTTGTCTGGGCGGTGGTATGTAGGCACCCCACATGGCATGTTGTCTGGACGGTGGTATGTAGGCACCCCACATGGCATGTTGTCTGGGCGGTGGTATGTAGGCACCCCACATGGCATGTTGCCCTCATAAATAAATAATAAGGAAAGAAAAAAAAGGCAAATAATTTCGATTTTTATGCAGAGAAATGAAGTCGTTCAAGTTTTTAGACAATATCAAAATGAAAAAAAAACTACGGAAGAAAACTAAAAAATAAACATACAAGAAGGCAACGCTTGCCACATGGCAACATGGTGGCATGGCACACTTGCCACATGGCATCATGATGGCATGACACACTTGCCACTTGGCAACATGACACGCTTGCCACATGGCAACATGGTGGCATGACACGCTTGCCACATGGCAACATGGTGGCATGACACGCTTGCCACATGACACGCTTGCCACATGGCAACATGACACATTTGCCACATGGCAACATGGTGGCATGACATACTTGCCACATGGCAACATTACACACTTGCCACTTGGCAACATGGCGGCAGGATAAGGCCAGGCTGTAGTTAGTACAGTCGTTACATGGGACACTCAGAAAACTGTACTACTTTCGATACCCCCGCACCCCCCACCCCCCTTGAGAGCAACCTACCCCTCACCCCCACCTACCCCTACCCCCTTCAACTTGAGGCTCGAAGTTTCGAGTGTTAAGTTGAAGGTTATATTTCCTAGCTAAACTTGACACTTGGCGGTGCTTTACATCAACTAGACGTTTAATATAATATAAATTAAACATTTAATTAATTATTAATTAAACGTTTAATTAACATCGATTAATAAATATGGATTAAACGAGTAATTTAAGGACCGGCCTTAGTGTGGAATACGGCAACGAGCGGTGGGATGAAGGGGTGAAGGGGAAGGGGTGAAGGGGAAAGGGTGAAGGGGAAGGGGTGAAGGGGAAGGGGTGAAGGGGTGAAGGGGAAGGGGTGATGGGTAGGGGATGAAGGGAGTGAAAGGGGCGGGATGAAGAGGGGTTAAAGGGAACACCCCTGCAGCAGCAACACTAGCCAGTAAATGGGAATTGAATAAAAAGCAATAATAAATTTCGTCTCGATATTGTGTCGCGTTACAAATTTAGGCTTCGACAATCTCCTAATTCAAGTTTTCGTACAGGATTAATTTGCAAGCATTTCCATTCTGCCTTCAGCGCACAAACTCATGTACAACAGAAAATTTCATAAAAATTTACAGGAAATCACAACTTTTTTTTCGAAAATTGGTCGCGTGAGAGCAACAAAATAATTAAAATTAACAAAAAAATTCACGCTACAAAATCAAGCCACGGATATTCCGGCTTAATTAATGAATGAGCTTTTTCACGACAATAATTCATTCAACAGTTGAAGAAATTCGAAATTTTACAGTTAAAAAAAATTGAACGCATCAGCCTATAAAAATTTTTTTTTTAGGCCTATCAGACCGTAACTAAAGCCTATAGAAGAGCGGCGCAAGCAGCAAGCCATGAAAATTCCAACCTAAATTTTTTGTTTCTTGAATTCCAAACTGAAATTTATTGTTAAAAGAGAATACATCTTGCACTAGGGATCGCCACAGACCAGGGGAAACAATTTTATTGCAGCAAAATTTAAATTTTCAATAAATGAAGTATTTATCTAATTTACATACACAGTTATTCAGCAGAGCCACTGCATTAAAACTTGCTCTGCAAATCCCAAAATATCACTTTGATTGTTCATGGCAAACCAACAATTATAGAAAAGCACATACAGAAAAGTGCATGTATAAATGTACGTATTTCAGTTCTAAAGCACAAATGACGTTAAACGCAAGGGAGAAGACCTACTACATTAAATTTGCTATAAATTAAATGAATTCATCTCAGTAAATGAAATGAGCCGAGAAATGAAATGAAAAGCTTCGGTACTCATGAAGGTCTAATGCTATGCAGTCATGTTCTCGCCTATTAATGATACTCTCGTGGCATTTTGTGTTCTCATCAATCACGCTTCTTCAAATTAATTAATTTTAAATTAATCCTTAAATTGAGGCACAAAGCAGGGGTTATATGACACGGGTAGAGCAAGGACCAACACACACAGGCCTTCCTTCATTCACTGCAACACGCGTGTCCTTGCTATACTTGCCTAACTCGTATTCATTTCAATATTACAATGACAAAAGCCTAACTTGTATTCATTTGAATATTATAATGACAAATCCTAACTTGTATTCATTTGATTATTACAATGATAAAGTTTGCATTTGAATATTACAATGACAAAGCCTAACTTGTATTCATTTCAATATTACAATTACAAAGTTTGCATTTGAATATTACAATGACAAAGTTTACAGGACTTATTTCCGTTTGGCAATTTCCGTGACTGTGGTTTAGGGCGGCGCCTTACAGCAGTACCACTGGGGAATAATCGAGGGGAGTCGGGCTGAGCCCCAAAGAGGCGGTGTATGGACATTTGGTAGCATCCATCGGAGGGACATTTGATAGCATCCAGGTTATTCACCGTCAACATGGATCATGAGTTACATGAACCACCGTAAACATGGCTGATGAACACAAACCACCATAACCATGGCCGATGATCAAAAACCACCGTAAACATGGCAGCATAGTTGGTGGTTTACATCATACACGCACAAGCACCACATGTTAAACATTCTGATTGTGTGTTGACACACAGCAGCCATGCTGCAGTCACAGTATATGCAGCCACGATAATATTTTTAATGGAAGTAACGATATCTTCAGCATAAATTACAACAGCTTCATCAGTAATCAACCAGTCAGTCGACTTGATTCTCAACCGCGTCATCGTGGGTCACAACAATCCTTAGCAGAGAGCCTACCACACAGCCACAGATCAAATTCTTGCATTAATAATTCTACACAAACTTTCTTCCTGTACTTTACAAACTTTATTTATGCTTGACACAACCACCAAAATTCTGTAACAACCTGTAGAGAGAGGCAACAAGAAAAATTTCTAAAGCGCTCTCACTTATGAACAACTTTGCTGCTCAAGACTAACCGGTGCACTTCATGATATTTGTAGCCAAATTATATAATAATTAAATTCATGCGGACATATGATGGAGATCAAACAATCACAGGAACAACCATCTCATTAAATCAACAAGAAATCCGCCGTTTGAATCTACTGAGGGCTTTTTGCAATCGCCAGTCAAAATCGAAGCAAAAATCTTAGGCTGTGACAGAACTGTTATACATACACAGAACATAGGAGCATTGGCTGCAGCAACAACTGCAGCAGGTGGCATGTGGACAGGACAACTGACAACAAAGGTCTGGGGCGGCTAGCAATGAAAAAAACTAAAATTTTTATACACTCTTGTGGGCACTAGCGCATAATATAAAAGAAAAAAGACTGATATTAGCTTCTCATAAGAAAAATAATCACTGATTTGATGGCCAGATAATAGAAATAAAAACATATTAGCGCCAGATAAGAGAAATAAAGTTCTGTGGCTAGAACTGCAGCTCACAGCGGCAAAAACAGCAGCACTGCGGCTACAGCAACTCCTACAGCACGACTGCAGAGAATTGCTACAGTAATAACTGTAGCTAGAGTTGCTGCAGTGCTACTGTTTATCCTGGAAGATGTAAAGGTTGTTGGTGGCAGCAACAGCGATGACGTTTTCCGTAGGATGCCAAGCTGTGTGCAGGATCTTCTTGCTGAAGTCCAGGCAGTCAACGTTGATCTCGTCTTTCTTTCTTTTGCTGCCGCTTCCGCCAATCTGCACAAGCAATTCTCATGAAGGCTTCGATATCATTTTCTTATTTCATAGAACAAATTCAAATGAAGCCTCAGGAACAATCAAGTTCTTGATATCAAATTACTTTATACACAAAGTAATTTGAATCGTACAAAAATTCTACATGAATCATACTACTATGCTATATATCTATCAGCCTATAGACCAACTATTCAAATCTTTAAGTGGACTAGATGCACCTTCTTTTCATGACTTAGCACGGTCCTTGGTTCTGCCATTTCTCTAATGACCTCTAGACCTAGATTCAAATCTTTAGGTAGACCATGTACACCTACTTTTCTAGGCTTTAGCACGGTTCTTGGTTTTGCCATTTGTCTAATGCCCTCTAGACCTAGATTCAAATCTTCAAGTGGACTAGGTACACCTACTTTTCTAGTCTTTAGCACGGTTCTTGGCTTGCTATTTCTCTAATGACCTCTAGACCTAGATTCAAATGTCCAGGGAGACTAGGAACACCTACTTTTCTAGGCTTTAGCACGGTTCTTGGCTTGCTATTTCTCTAATGACCTCTAGACCTAGATTCAAATCTTCAGGTAGACTAGGTACACCTACTTTTCTAGGCTTTAGCACGGTTCTTGGCTTTGCTATTTCTCTAGCAGCTTCTAGAGTAACGTCTTTCTTGCTGTCGCGCTCGAACATGCGGAAGAAGTTGTTGTAGGAGCCTGTCATGATGTGCTTGTCGTTGCCACTCCAGCAGCACTCGAACTTGTCAAAGATGCAGTCGTTTTCATACAGCGAACACAATTTGGAGCGCAGGTAGTCATGTACCTGAGGAAACACAAAATGGAAGTTAAAAAATTCATTTATAGTTAGAAATGACATGCAAAATTCATAGAAAGCATATTGCATTAACCAAAGAATGATACATGAAAAAATTCCCATCTTCTTGCAACAGCCATTGCCACTTTGGTGCCTGAAAATGACCAGCAATTTAGCCAAAAAATAATATTAAGAATTAAAATCACTTGGCTGCTTAAGTCGCAAATTCACCAGGAATTTAAAAGTAAAGAAAATAGCCAAAAAGTTCACTATTTCTTATAAGAGAAAACGTTTCGGAGTCCAGCTCCATCGTCAGTTCAAAACCTAGAACACAGGCACAAACAATTAGTAACCTAAAATTCATATTCAAACAATTCACCTAAACTTGAGGACATTAGAACTAAAATCGAAGATAACAGAAATAAAAATGAGATAACATGTAGAGAAAGTACTAGTACTATCTATTTACAATTTGTAGAGGATAAGAACTGAATGCAGCATTTAAACTGGGTTTCTGTTTGAAAATAAATAATGATTCTAAAATTCGTAGGTCAGAAACACCGGTTGTGGAGGCTAAAACTTTAAAATCACTATTGGACACCGGGACGTTGCACTGCTCGGCATGAATACGTACGGCTGAATGAGGGGGATGCGCAAGTATGTTCCCTGTTCTATAACTCCTGCCCCTATGCTCTGCAAGCCTAGTATAAAAATTGCGCGATGTCATACCGATATACGCAGATGCGCACTGCGCACAACTATATTGATAAACTAGGGATGATCGCATAAGAACAGGGAGAGGATCTTTGTACAATGGAGCTGGACTCCGAAACGTTTTCTCTTATAAGAAATGGTGAACTTTTTGGCTATTTTCTTTACTTTTAAATTCCTGGTAATATTAAGAAACATGGAACTGATACTTAAAGAATGGTCAAATGATTAGTTATTGCTGAATGAAATAAACTCAGTCACTATTTCGAGAGATGTCCACTCACAAAGTTTGTCTATGATGATGGCCACTCATGGAGAGTATCTCTTAATGCACGGAGTACACATGTATTGACACTCACCAAGTACGTCTCGAGAGGCTGGTTCTCACTCACAGGTCTCGAGAAGCTGGTTCTCACTCACAGATCTCGAGAGGCTGGTTCTCACTCAATGATCTCAAGAGGCTGGTTCTCACTCACAGGTCTCAAGAGTCTGGTTCTCACTCACAGATCTCAAGAGGCTAGTTCTCACTCACAGATCTCAAGAGGCTGGTTCTCACTCACAGGTCTCGAGAGGCTGGTTCTCACTCACAGATCTCAAGAGGCTGGTTCTCACTCACAGGTCTCGAGAGGCTGGTTCTCACTCACAGATCTCAAGAGGCTAGTTCTCACTCACAGGTCTCAAGAGTCTGGCTCTCACTCACTGAGTACGTCTCAAGAGGCTGGTTCTCACTCACTTAGTATGTCTTGAGAGGCTGGTTCTCACTCACTGATCTCAAGAGGCTGGTTCTCACTCACAGATCTCGAGAGGCTAGTTCTCACTCACAGATCTCGAGAGGCTGGTTCTCACTCACTAATCTCGAGAGGCTGGTTCTCACTCACAGATCTCAAGAGGCTAGTTCTCACTTACAGATCTCAAGAGGCTAGTTCTCACTCACAGATCTCGAGACTGGTTCTCACTCACAGATCTCAAGAGGCTAGTTCTCACTCACAGATCTCAAGAGGCTAGTTCTCACTCACAGATCTCAAGAGGCTAGTTCTCACTCACAGATCTCGAGACTGGTTCTCACTCACAGATCTCAAGAGGCTAGTTCTCACTCACAGATCTCAAGAGGCTAGTTCTCACTCACAGATCTCAAGAGGCTAGTTCTCACTCACAGATCTCGAGAGGCTAGTTCTCACTCACAGATCTCAAGAGGCTAGTTCTCACTCACAGATCTCAAGAGGCTAGTTCTCACTCACAGATCTCAAGAGGCTAGTTCTCACTCACAGATCTCGAGACTGGTTCTCACTCACAGATCTCAAGAGGCTGGTTCTCACTCACAGATCTCAAGAGGCTGGTTCTCACTCACAGATCTCAAGAGGCTGGTTCCCACTCACAGATCTCAAGAGGCTGGTTCCCACTCACAGATCTCAAGAGGCTGGTTCTCACTCACAGGTCTCGAGAGGCTGGTTCTCACTCACCGAGTACGTCTCTAGAGGCTAGTTCTCACTCACCGAGTACGTCTCTAGAGGCTGGTTCTCACTCACAGGTCTCGAGAGGCTGGTTTTCACTCACTGAGTATGTCATGAGAGGCTGGTTCTCACTCACAGATCTTGAGAGGCTGGTTCTCACTCACCAAGTAGATCTCATGAGGCTGGTTCTCACTCACCGAGTACGTCTCGAGAGGCTGGTTCTCCTTGCGCAGGTCCCAGACTTTGATGGTGAGGTAGTCTCGGGAGATCATGAGGCCGCCGCTGTTGCTGAACTTCACATCAGAAATGCTCGAGATAATCTCGCTGAAGAAACTACGGTTGCTCGGGTCCTCCGCCTCCTCAAACACTGTACACAAAGTATGCTCATTTAAACATTTCTTAAATTCATAGCACTGCACTAAATTCTTGGCTATTTAATTCGTATTTAAATTTATAGCACTGTACCAAATTCATGGCTATCTAATTCCTATTTAAATTTATGGTACTGCACGAAATTCCCGGTTATTTAAATCCTATTTAAATTTATAACCATGCACTAAATTCATGGCTATTAATTCCTATTTAAATTTATAGTAACTACTGCACGAAAAATATGTTTATTTAATTCCTATTCAAATTTATAGCACTGCACAAAATTCATGGCTGTTTTAATTCATATTTAAATTTATAGCACTGGACGAAAGTGATGGATATTTAATTGTATAACACTGGATAAATTAGTAAAGATATAAATCCTATTAAATAAATAATAAATGCTACTTAAATGCACAAATTTCCTGAACTGTATTACTCGTTATTTAAATGGGCAAAATTATTTTCCTTGCTATTTAATGCATAAAATGACTTGCTTAATACTTAGTGAACTAGCAAAAAAAGAGTGAAGAAGCAACAGAAAATCTTTGACCGATACCTCTTAATAAATGGGAGATTGAAATCATTGAATAACTAATTAGATAATGATTATATAATACCGGTACCAGAGAATGTTCACCATGCATCACATAGTCTGATGCATGACACATATACTTACTCTTGGCATGTGAGTCACATAAGGCAGCGGCTCGCATGTCACATAGTCTGATGCATGACACACATACTTACTCTTGGCATGTGAGTCACATAAGGCAGCGGCTCGCATGTCACATAGTCTGATGGTGCCTTTACTGCTGCTGTACACGAATGAGTTGCAGTCGCGGGGGTGAAACTCGGCAGCTGTAATAACCTCTGTCAGCTCCTCCATGTTGCTTGGCTTGATGTCCACTATATTGAACGACTGCACAAACATCAAACATTATAAATCAAGTATAAATGTTTTGATATATCTAAATTTACTGCAGACTATATTGAACGAATGCACATACATCAAACATTATAAAATCAAGTATAAATGTAGTAATATATCTAAATTTATTACAGATTAAATTGAACAACTGCACACACATATAACTTCATTTCCACTCTTTGCAGACCACGCAGAATGACCGCTTAATCTATATTTATATGTTGCAACATCATAATGTCAGAATATTGCATCAAGTAAAAATCTCAATAAGATCACTATTAATCTAATGATGAAGCATTTTGACTCTGGGCCAAGCTATGGAAGAATATTCACAAGTTCTTAACTCCTGACAACTTTCCAGTTGACCCCACCAAACACAGACAAGAAATTGGCCACTATGTGTACTTAGTTTCAAAAGTAAGGCCCCCAGATCCTATCAAATCACAAATTACACAAATAAAAATTAAATTAACCCTGGTCTCCATGGAGATATGAACAGAAGAATATGAGTAAGTTTAGCCTAACCTGATCTGTAACCTCGAGATGCCACAGGTTAATCCTAAGGTCATCAGCACTAAGGTAAGTCTCCTGGTCGGAATTAACAGAGATGCTGTTAATGTGGTAGGTGTGCGCGTTGGCGAAGATGCGGCGTGGGGACGCCTCTACCATCAGCTCCATCTGCTTCAGTGAAGGTACCTGCACGTACAATTGTTCATCAGTTAGTTAGTTAGTTAGTTTAGTGGCCGTTGTTTACTAGCGCTCCAGCTATTTAGCTTTCTTGCACCCAAAGCAAAAATGAACATCACCAAACAGAGTTCGTACCGGTGTTTAGAAAAAAAATTCCACGACTTTTCCATGACGCTCCATGACCATCAATATAATTTTCCAAGACTATTAGGGACTACATCATGTGTACCTATTACACATGTACATGTATTTAATCACATATTTACCATACATGTGATTAAATAACATGTTTAATCACATGCACGTGATTGGAGAACCAATCAGAACGCAGGAAAGAGGAAACAAGACTGCACAAACAGTAAACACATGCAGCACAGAAAAACACTTTTTTTTTCTTCATTTATTTGTAAATTCCACAACTTTCTATAATCTGAAATGAAATCCAATGACTTTCCAGGTCTGGAAAATGAAAACTCAAATTCCATAACTTTCCAGGTTTTCCATGACCAGTACGAACCTTGACCAAAGAGGTGGAAGGTATCAGTTATCAAAAGTCATTAGGTTTAACTCAGGTTGAAGTTTTAACTCGTTTCTATCTCCATTAGCATAATGTTCAAGAAAATTTAAAATTTACTTAATATATTGAATTTGTTGACTGCAAGAGACTCACCCTAAGTGAAGTGATGCTGGAGGAGTCCCTAAGCTGACCGGCATCGTCCCTAAGGTTGTAGCCCTCAGCGCGCTTGTCACGCTCAGAGACCTTCCACAGCTTAATAGTCTTATCTGTTCAAAATATCATTATAAATATTTAATAGTCTTATCTGTTAGAAATATCAATATAAATATTTAATAGTCTTATCTGTTCAAAATATCAATATAAATATTTAATAGTCTTATCTGTTTAAAATATCAATATAAATATTTAATAGTCTTATCTATTCAATATATCAATATAAATATTTAATAGTCTTATCTGTTCAATATATCAATATAAATATTTAATAGTCTTGTTTGCAGAAACATTTTAAATTCATTATAATTATTAACTTGACTCAACTGTAGAAATATGGCTTTATTTTCACTGTAATACTTATGCAAATTATTTTATATCAAAGAAAATGTCAAGTAAATTGATCATATTTTCATAAAAATATTTTGGACAAGTTCCATCATCGTTTTTAAGCTCTAAATGAATATGCAACTTAAGAATACTAATGATCTTTCTACTTTTCATTATTTAAAAATAATTTATACACTTGTGTCTGTACCACAACAAAAGCATGACGCGGTTATACTGCAAACTTTTTGTTCATAATAAATGAATACACAAATACAAACATTTAAATAATTGAATTTAGTCGCTTAAAAGAAATTCTGGCAAGAAAGTTTTTCTGGTTGCAAAACCCAGCAAAAAAAAATATATAAACTTGCATGGCAAGTGATTGCTTTTCAGACTACGAATGATGACAATGGAACTGAGAAGACTGGAAGTGATTAGCATCTGGCAACTATCTATGGGCTCACATCGTACCATTTATGGATGATGGAAAATGAGCAGGATTTAGGGATTATCATTTATGCTCACACCTCACCATTACAAAATGATACCAAATGAGCAGAACTTGTGCAGCATCAATTATGCTCACAACTCACCATTAGTGGATAATAAAAAATGAGCAGGATTTTTCCTCTTAAGCCATCTAATCTTGTTGATCTTTTCTTCTATTTCTAAAGACTTGAGGTAGTCAAACTCGGGCTCATGGCTCTGGAAGGTGCTGTACACGTTGTACTCTCCTCTCGTTGGCGAACAACCTTTTGACTGCAACCAACACGTATCATTAGAATATGCAAAATCATGAATTCCGGAACACACATGTAATAATTACAGTGATTAGTAATAGCAGGACTTGCAAACCACATATATAATTCTCTCAATCCAATTATTCTCTAATGGGCAAATAACCTTTTATATAAAACAAAAACCTTTTAAAGAAATAATAAAAACAAATCCTTTTATATAAAACAAATACTGTAACCTTTTAAAGAAATAATAAAAAAAATAACAAATAACCTTTCAATAAAATAACCAAGAGACATCAGTTACACATGAAATACCATGCATTACAAAACACACATATAACAATTAAAACAATAAATAAAATAGTACATAGTATAAACTGGTAATATTTCCACCCAAAATGTCTGACATGAAAGACAAAAAAAAACAGTGGGCCAATATATAAAATAATTTGTAAAGAAACAACCTTCACTGCATTGCTTATGCACAATTTGGCTCAAAATTGTGGTAGAATTCGAGATGATGATTCCATCATCTCGAATTCTACCACAGAGGTCACTCTTGAATACAACATAATTTTTTTAATTTATCTGTTGTCATTTGAAAAGTAAACATTTGAAGATGAGAATAACATTTGAAGTGCAAGCCAGACACAAAAGAGGCAAGGAAAAATTGCATTAGCAGCCGTTTGTATTTAAATTTCAATTGTGTTAAATTTAAATGCCACATATTGTTGTTCATAGGGACCAATTGTATGGGTCATTAAGAGTGATTTCAAAATACTTGGTTCTACTTCTCATGGCTTGGACGTAAGGATCATGGAATCACTACATTTGTATTTTCAAGCAGAAATCTTTTCTTAATAATGCATACCGGTACTTTTCATTTCCTATTGAAATTGTAAATTGGTAGGTTTTTGCGTTCTGGTATAATTTTTTATTTACTTAGGTTTTAATCTTGTTCACATGCTTCTGAGCTAGGAAATGTCTGACTGTTTGAGGCAATAGGGACATATATACTAGTGTATAACTGTATTTAAAAAAAAATGCTCCAATTGCACACCATGTGTTTTGTGTGTATCAGAAGAAGTACAGTATATTCTTGCCAGGACTAAACACTAGGCTTTTTGGTAGAGATAAAAAACATTACTCACTAAAGGATCCCGTTGAAAAATGACAACTCGACCACCCTTATCTCCAGTGGCCAATAGATCTCCATCATGGCTGAACTCCACGCAGGAGATGACGTCCGCTGCAAATATTAATATCTTACATTATATGGTTAAATAATCTGCACATCATTGCTAGCTAATGAGCAATATCTTACTGGTCTGCATTTCATTCTACATAGATTTTTAATATATATTTCACTGCAAGATCACACCAGCTGTAAGAATCATTTTCAAGTTCTCTTAAATGACTCTTGTCACACTACCATATTTGACTTATAAGCAATATTATATTTTACTGGTCTTCATTGCATTCTCAATGTGATATCAACTTATAGGTCATATTTTATGCTTCATCACAGGAATTAAACTACATGCTACACTTTCTTTGAATAGGAACACAAATCAAAACAGATATAAATAGACTCTTGTTCTTACCACTGAACACATGACAGAAGCATTTCTGTCTCATTATAAAATCACTAACCAAATGAATTTCTAACCAATTAACCCCTTCATCCAGGAACATGATTCAAATTCTAGGTTATTTACTGCTAAATAAATCATTACCAGTGTTTCTACATGATCATTTACCTGACAAATTACAATTATTGTGGAGTGAATGAACTCACCATCAGTTATTTCATCATCCAATGTTCCTTTGACTTGTGAAAAGCACCACTGTGTATCTGCTCCATTCCCTGAGAAGTGATAGAACATCCAAATATTAAGAGGGAAATTTTTTTAGTGAATAAATAATAATGAACAAATTTTGTATTGAAGAGCTTCACAAAAAGCTGAAGGTTGGAGGCAAGACTGGGTACACTTGATTTGTTCAGTAAACAATTGGCTGTTTAAATCAAGAATATAAAACAAGACAATGTAACCCAATTTTTTGCCATATTGACATTAAACCAATATTTATGAAATATATATCCTTGGTAGGTATAAGAAACCTTATTTTATTGGGTGGGATTCTGAATGGATGAAACTAGAACATGAAACAGGCTTTCCATATATAAATCAGACAACACTTTTTTTTTTACAAAGCAAGTTACATGGCTGGATAAACCTCAAATATATATAATTGACGTAATATAATAGATATAATAGATAAACCACCATTTCTAGAATTCTAATCTGAACCCCTACATTGGCAACAAGATTGATGATACAATTTCAGTAATAATTAGATAAAAATAATTCATAAAGCAAATGTTGTGCAACTACAAGAATGGCAAGAAAGCTCCAGCCACCATCAGACTGTAAATTAAGGCACAACATAGTTCACGGATACCAAATTTATTGCCAAAAGACGCCAAGTTAGAGAAGGTCATCCTTACATTTTTAGTCGATATAATGAACATGGCTAATTTGGAATGATTAATGGGAATTTAGCACATGTGGGCAAAAAATACTACTAATTCAAACCAATACCAGTTCAAGTTCAAGATTTTTGAAATATATCTTGAAAAGATAAGTATCTTTGCCTTAAATGCCACACTTTACAGTTATGTGCAAAGCTGTTTGGTCCTGCTAGAAAGTTATGGTTGAATTTTAATTATAAAATACATTCTATCTATTGGAAGCTGGCAACATAAGTGCTGCAGATCGTAGTAAGTTCCATGACATTAATGTCCGCAGAAATCTTGTTTCTTTCAAAATGGCAGCAAAGCTCTACTTGTAGCTAGGAAAGCAAATATTTTTCACACCAGCTGGTAGTCTTTTAGCTTCACCAAGAAATGATCCAGATAGCAGACCAGACTGTTGAGTAGTGTTCATTAGGTTTAGATTTAGGTGTTATTTTAAGCTTTCTTTCAATATTTGATCCATCTTAACCTCAAATTGGCATCCATGTTTAGCTAAGGGTTCAATCACAAACAATTGATCAATACTACAAGGATCTGTATCTTTGTCACCTGCATTGATTGTAATACCATCTAAGTTCAAATCAATAATTTCCGATAAGCAATATCAATTGTGAATTGCAATCTATGGAAAAATGTTGTTGTGGCCATTTGTCTGCCACAATCATATCTTGCATCTTAGATGTGAAGAATTGGTATTCGGGATGCCTGTCAGAGACCACAAGTATCCTACTTTGAATGCACTATCATGATCCTTTTCCTCATGAACATAGCCTCCAACATTTCTAGACTAACATTATCAGCCACAAGCCACCATACAAATCACATCTATTGAAATAGATCAACTAGCCCACAGGAAAATAGCCTGCAATAGTATGGCCAAGCATCATTCTGACAATGATCAAAAAAAATTCTACACCACTCAGAGAGAGCAGGCCAGAGACTTGCAGTGAATATGATGCCCACCACCAACCCGTCCATATCCAGCCCATGCATCGAATCAGCCCACAGTCAAACAGTCACTCATTGAAGGATGAGAGATTTAGGAGCAGAACTATTTATCTGAAACATATCCTTAGGTGCTGTGAACTAAGTTACGTAATTTAATACTGTCCCAGGAGTCACATGTGAAATGCGGTCTGGTGGTGCACAACAGATTTCATTCAGTTTCCTCAAGCTAGGCTGATTGATGGCAGTCCATTGTTGGCTGGTTACAGTTGGAGCTTACGAAGAGATAAATTTAGATTCTTTCATGGCAGATATGGCACATCATAATTGCAGTGAACATATGATGGGTGATGATGTCTGACACCATGTTTAGCTAATGTCAAATTCAATTTCACAATAAATAGACTTGATCCACAATGAGATTAAAATGATGCAAAGTTGTTTCGAAATTTAAACACAACTTTATACGCATCCAGATATGAATTTTATCATGTTTTTGCTCAATTTTGTTGATATTGTCTAGTTAACTTAACTTCAGATTCTGAAGGATTTTGTCTCTCCAGTTTTTGAATGTCTCATGTCTTTTAAAAAATGATGGTTGTTTAGAAGTGGCAATTATTTTATTATAAATATCATAGAGCATTTAGGCATGTGCCATGTGTATTAAAATTTAATAGTGGCGACGCTTTCAGAAACTTAATCCACATATTCATTTAAGAGTATTTAAAAGTCATAATTTATAATTTGATACATGAACAAAATAGATAGATAATTAATTTTATAGATAGATAAATATTGGGCAAAAAATTAATGGTAGATTAATAAAACAAGAAATATTATTTAAAACAGTTTCATAATTTATAGCACCAGAACCTAAGCAAGTGAACAAGTGCCTATGAGGTATTTGTGATGTTAATGATCAACATTGGCTGAGGTTATATTGACCAATCAGCGGCACTGTAGCTGAACAAGCAAATGCTTTTTGTGGCTACCCAATGCTCGGGTCAGTCTGACGGCTTTGGCACGTATTTCCACAGCTGCAGCTGGTACAAATAAGCAATGTGGAAATGAAGGCAGAATCATCCATACATCTCAAATTAAACGACAATGAATGGATTTGTAAGTATTTTATGAATCCCATTTATTTACAAGAATGGAAATGTCCCTACTATTCAAGAATCTGTTCTTGAATACAGTTGTGAAAACTTAAGTTCTATAGTCAATGGAGTCTTTGTAACTACAAAATACTTCAATTTAAAATATTTAGACAAGTGAAAAGATTGAAGGAGTTGTAAGAAAAAATTAGTTTTTTTGGTATAAGGTCCAAATATATTTCAAACTTTCATCAGAAGTTATGCAAATGTTAGTCAAGTTGAACTGAATATGCAGTATATTAAAGGCTGTAACACTACAATGTTCATTCAAGTTCATTACTGCAACAAACAAAGAGATTGAAAATGAGAGAGCCTGAAAATGAGTGGTAGATGAGGTTTCTTGAATTTGCTCTGCTCACTTAGTTTATAATAAAACAATCAAAATTTATGATTGAATTCACCAGAAATCTTTTTAATATGTGATAGTTAACAGCTTGGCAAGTGTTTATTGAAATGCACAAGATATCATATTGGCAACTGGAATCTGGATAAAACTCAGTTGCACGCATGCTTTCATTACATAAGCAGCAATGTGATTTGTCTCCCTCAAATCACTTTTGTGGTGTGCATCATGTTGACTCTAATTGGTGGCATGATTTGTCATTAATTCATGGATGTTAATTTGTTATGTTTCACTAAAAGACAAATTGCTAATGAACTTTTATTTAGTCATTGAAATCCTAAAGTGTTGTAACCTTCATTCTTGATTCTTTCAAGTGCAAATTTAATCCCTACTATTTTTATCCTTTGAATTTTAACTAAAATTTTTGGACAGAAACTGTGGCAGAGGGCATTTGGGTCAATAATTATATACTACAAACCATCATTTTTAGAATTACATCCTGCCCCACAGCCACAAGCCCTATGATTTTAGATAAACCTACAATATAATTGCAGTTAGGATACATATGCAATTAAAAAAGTTTTTTGTTCAAACAAACACATTGTTATTTTTTTAGGATTTAGCCTACTTTTCAAACTGGAACTGATATTTGGCTATTCCTATTCTATTTTGACAGCTGATCCATATTTGGGCAAAAATTTCCAAAAATTGGGGGCAAAAGGTACCATTTCTTGAGTTTTTTCATGAAAGAAATAAGGCAAGGGTCGTACAAATAAGTGAAATTACCACAAGTATGAAAGTTTCTCTCCTCTATGGGTGGCTCTGGCCCAATTTTCCAGAGTGACAATAAAAAATTTATCACTAAAGTTGCATTGATCATTACTTGTTGGAATATGTATCATTACTAAAAAGTATAGAGTGGAGTAACATTGTTGCTAATTTATAATCAAAGTGGAAGCCAAACAACATTCAGCAAAGGAAGACTTTCTGATAACAAGAAAAAGTGTTAAACTAAGCCTACTGTTAAAGTGTTAAACTAGGCCTACTGTCAGTGTCAGTCTGTCAGATGCCAGTTAGTGATAGAAAATCTATGCCGTTCAGCATTATTGATACTGTTAGTAATGTTTTAGTCATTTGAAATACAAGGGGGGGAGTAAATGGTAGACAAGTGAGACAACAATGACAGCGAGTGTGAAGGAACTAGGTCGAATGATAACAACTGACAGGTAAACACTCATGTTTAGCCGCTTTTGCGGGTCCAGCCAAAAGTAATTCGATACCTTTACTTAGCCTAATAGAAATACCTCATCCTAGAGCAAATTGTCAACTCAGCCATGCATACCTAATAGTTGACTATATGACGGATAAACTGCCGGAAATATAAATGCTGCCCAAGGCCGGTCACGTTTTGTAAGGTCAACCATATTTAAACATTAGACGATTAGAGAGCTATAAACTCACCGGCCATCGCACTCGCTCATGCAACACCATTCACGTCTTAAATTGTTGTTGATAAATTCTAAGCAATCAATGACCGTAACCATTGATGATATTCATCGACACTACCCAAAACCGCAGAAAATACATAAAATTTCCGATGTTATGGCGGACTCTGCATTCACACTTTTTATGACGTCACTACTCATAACATGGGAATCTTGGGAAAACAAGTGACACACAATTTGCGCGCCAAACATGTAGATCACGAATTAAACACTTTACAACTTCGCGGGAAAAATGTATTGTTCAAAATTTACTCGTTCTTACTAGCATTAAAAACAATAAACCATTTTTCAAGTTGAATAAATGCATTTTATTTTTAATTTTGAAAACCAAATCCGATAACTAGGTATCCTAGTTCTTCGGCAACAGACCAATGGCATATTTCTTCAGTGCCCACACTTCAGTTCTTTATAATATATCTAAATCAGATACAGAGGCTGTGCACCCATCACTACGATGTCTGATTCGTTTCCTCGTAGCTAACTTAAAGTTTTCTTAACAGATGCAGAGGTTCTGAAGCTCTGCTGCTGGACCGAAGAACTTGCTTCGTAATGTCAGTCCAAATCGCTGGATCGAAACATCCTTACAGGATTCTGTACGACAGCGCGTCATGACACATTTCTGCGACTCACAAAGGAACATAAATTACTAATGCTAATAATCCTAACTTGGTGGTATCATGCATGAATTATCACTTATGTCCTAATAATTTTGAGCAGGGTGGCCCAGTGGTTACAGTTCAGGAGTATCAGGATTGGTGCAGAGAGGTGCGGGTTCGATCCCAGCTCTGTGCGCCAGTTTACGGTCAGAATCGGCGAGGAGGCCGGGCGGTTAAGCACAGAACATTTGAAGCAGGGAGTAGCGAGTTCGAGACCGCAACAAGCTGTGAATGTTCTGCGATGTTGAGAATCGGCGACACGCTTACGGTCTAAGGAACGCTGAAACCGCTATAGGGTTATTATCTGAGATCAAACCTTGGAACCTCAAAATTGGAATGATACTCATAAACCGCGATTCCAGACAGCAACCTCAAGCGAAACAGGAATGGTGGTATCGTGGTGCATCTTTCAAGTTCAGCGAGTCAGGTAACCAAACACCAAATGTAGGCAACTATGCAAATGTTTTAACACGGCAGCTATTAAGATAAGCTATTATATGAGTCCAAATTTTAAATGCATTTTAATGCACCAGTAGCATAAATAAGTATTGCTCGCGGTAGAAACTTCCCGAGTTTTGATATCCACCCACTAATGATTGAAATTCTAACATTCAATAAGAATTTTTCCGTATAATTTTCTATCGTTAGATTCATTGACGCAACAGGGATACAGATACATTCTATGCAAGCATTTATATGACTTTATTACATACGACGGAAACTGACTAACGGTTATTAACCAATAAAATCTATAAACTTGATTGGCCGGCATCACCTCATCACAAACTGTCAATTAAATCGCAATAGTAAACTTAATAAATCAGCACTGTCCCGCCCTGCTTGGTTATTAATTAAGTAAATAACTAATTTAAGTTTAATTTAAAACACACGGCCTGAGTTGAAATTTGATTTTTTTTGTTCAAGTCCTCCCTCATAAATTCGAGGAGGTATTGGAGGAACACTCCCTCACCAACTCAAGGAGGCGCAGGAGGAACACTCCCTCACGAACTGGAGGAGGCGTTGGAGGAACACTCCCTCACCAACTGGACGAGGTGCAGGAGGAACACTCCCTCACGAACTGAACGAGGCGTTGGAGGAACACTCCCTCACGAACTCGAGGAGGTGCAGGAGGAACACTCCCTCACGAACTTGAGGAGGTGCAGGAGGAACACTCCCTCACGAACTCGAGGAGGTGCAGGAGGAAAACTCCCTCACGAACTCGAGGAGGCGTTGGAGGAACAGGTCTTGGTGTTCGGCGAGGTCTGCCACAATATTGAAGTGGTCTGACGCCAACACCTCGTGACGGTGAACACTGCTGAACAGCTGACGCAGTGTCTGGAACAGTTGTCAGAGCTTCAGCTAGAACAGTGAGAATACAATTGAAGGCAAGACACAGATAAATGTTCCCTGAACATTGGACTTACTTTAGCATAAACGTTCGAATGTTCCCTGAACATTGGACTTACCTTGGCATACACGTCCGAATGTTCCCTGAACATTGGACTTACCTTGGCATTCACGTCCGAATGTTCCCTGAACATTGGACTTACCTTGGCATACACGTCCGAATGTTCCCTGAACATTGGACTTACCTTGGCATACACGTCCGAATGTTCCCTGAACATTGGACTTACCTTGGCATACACGTCCGAATGTTCCCTGAACATTGGACTTACCTTGGCATACACGTCTGAATGTTCCCTGAACATCGGGCTGTCGTGTTCAGCGGTGGCGATGATGAAGCGGGTCGTGGGCAGTAACACGGCAGGCAACAGCTGGTAGTTGCCGGGCTCAGCTGGCGACAGTTGCCTTGCTTGTTCACTGGCGACAAAAACGAACACATTTAAATTTTTTCTGGCAAAAAAAAACATACAGTGCTCAGCCTCATCATTGCGGGGGACACGTTCACGAAACATTCACTCAGAGAACTGATTGAGACTGTCCAATTATTGATGCACTTTTCGTTTATGTGTGGGTCATCCTGACGCAGTTTGGCCCGGCGAAAGGTCGTATCAGTTTTAAATGCAGAAAGTGCGTTAAAATTTTGACAGCAGCCAATTATGTCTGATTAATTTGTTAAGTGCATCCAGGGAGTGCGAGGGCCGCGTTCCTGCAACACACCTGGTGAGCCCGAGGGCCGCGTTCACGCAACACACCTGGTGAGCCCGAGGGCCGCGTTCACGCAACACACCTGGTGAGTCCGAGGGCCGCGTTCACGCAACACGCCTGGTGAGCCCGAGGGCCGCGTTCACGCAACACGCCTGGTGAGAAACACACCTGGTGAGCCCGAGGGCCGCGTTCACGCAACACACCTGGTGAGCCCGAGGGCCGCGTTCATGCAACACACCTGGTGAGTCCGAGGGCCGCGTTCACGCAACACACCTGGTGAGCCCGAGGGCCGCGTTCACGCAACACACCTGGTGAGGCCGAGGGCCGCGTTCACGCAACACACCTGGTGAGCCCGAGGGCCACGTTCACGCAACACACCTGGTGAGCCCGAGGGCCGCGTTCATGCAACACACCTGGTGAGCCCAAGGGCCGCGTTCACGTAGGTGTCCACTAGTGGCGGTAAGTAGAAGACTCCACTGATGGTGACCACGCCCCCCACCCAGGACCCCCCGTCTTCCTCAGCATTCTCACCACCACCAGGTCCATCCCCCCTCGCCTCCCCAACGAAGTGCAGGAGAGCCTGAGGAGCGGAGGCTGGATAAAATGATCAGCGATCACAGACTTGCAGACTCTGTACGACTAACAAATCACTTGACTGTCTGCTAACCAAGCAAGGCCTGCAGACTGCATCGGCATCTGCAGACTGAGCCGAGTGATTTCAGACCAAACTCGGTGTCTGCAAATCTTACCTGCAGACCGAGCTGAGCTCCGGCAGACCATCCCACAATGACCGCAGGCTGCCATTTCTTTTCCTCCCTCAACTTCCTGACGTCTTGCAGACCACGGTAGACCTCCCGCACCATGCCAGACACCGTGCCTGCGTGCAGGCATCGTGACAGACATGACAGACGCAGCAGACACCGTGACATATATTTTTGCCTCAACCCTTTATCAAGATCATTAAAGGTTGCTTGTAAAGATAGCGGTTCAGTTTCCATCATGTATATACTGCATTTAGTTTTGGTCATGCATATAGTTTCATTTATCATATAATTTCGGTTATGTACGTATATGATTTCATTCGTGCATATCGCTTCATTTATGTATATAGTTTCTATTATGCATAGTCTCGCTCATGCATATATAGTATTGGTCATTTGGTTGTAGTTTAGAAATTCATTCAACAATTTATTTCGATAATTTATGAAATTATAATATATTTAATAAGGAGCAGCATGGTTGCGGTAGCTCGGGCAGCATGGTTGCGGTAGCTCGGGCAGCATGGTTGCGGTAGCTTGGGCAGCATGGTTGCGGTTGCTCGGGCAGCATGGTTGCGGTAGCTCGGGCAGCATGGTTGCGGTAGCTTGGGCAGCATGGTTGCGGTTGCTCGGGCAACATGGTTGCGGTAGCTCGGGCAGCATGGTTGCGGTAGCTCGGGCAGCATGGTTGCGGTAACTTGGGCAGCATGGTTGCGGTTACCGTGAGGGGCTGTAGTGTAGCCGAGGACCACCACAACCACACCCGCGTCGTGTAGTGGTCCCATCAGCCCCCCAACCAGGTCCTGGTTGAGTTCTTGCCAGTAGCCGCCGTGGATGTAGACAACCAGGCCACTTCCTGGTGGTTGAGGTCATGGTTACCACACGACGGAGCACAACCAAGGTTGTGTCATGCATAATAACGACAGTGACGTGACAGAAGTGACCAGAAAATTGAAAGATGCCGATGCGTTCAAATACACTCAGCGAAATGAGTGAGAGTTTATCCAAATACTGATGCGCTTTTTACCATGTGTGGCTCATCTTGAACCTGTTTAGTCCGGCATAAAGGTATATCAGCGCTACCCACTCGAAATGTGTCACTATTTGTACAATATAACCGGTTCAGTCATGAACACAGAGAATTTAAAAGCAAAGAAAATGCGATGTAAATTTACCATATCTTCAGTAAAAACGTTTCGGACACAAGCTCCATCATCAGTTTTAAAGATTTATAGAATACGAGCACAAACAGTCGTTAAAATCAAGTGTAAACGAAAGAGATTAAAACCTATAAAACGAAGAAATCACAAACGAAACATAAAAACCTATCGATTCACAATTATCAGGAGATAATAACAGACAAGCGTTAATTAGGCAAGGTTTCCGCTTAGAAATATGATGCGATTCCAAAATTGCAAAGGTTGTTAAAATATGCAAAGGTTGTTCAACATGGAGACGCACAACAGAGTGAGAATTCCTAGAGAGTGAAGGTTCGAACGAAAACTCCTGCCGCGTAGTTCAGAAACCCGGATGTATAGGTTACGTGACGTCATTCCGACCTACGCTGATGCGCAACGCGCACAACTACATACATAACATAAAATTGGACCCTATACAGAAGCCAAGTGCACAAAATGGTATGGTATCGAACATGCGGAGAAACATGATATAACATTAACGTATTCGGCATTTAAAAACACCAACGCGCTCGATATGTGTTCAGAACTCGACAATTTGGCAGACAAGGTCCCCTATAGGAGCGTTACGCACCAGCAACCAACCACATAACCCACGTCACCTGCCGGCAGTTGCTCCCCGTACACGTCCATTGTGATGTTAGAGTCCTCGTCGACTGTGAGCAATGGAACATCATTTATATATCAATAATTCATCACAAATTCATCACTAATACATCACTATTTCATCACCAGTAGGTCCTACATCATCAATACATCACTAACTCAACACTAATTCGACACCAAAAATCACCAATTCATCACAAAAAAATTACTAATTAAGACATCACTAATACATTATAATTAATGTTAGTAACTGTAGGTGCTGGTACGATTTGTTTTGCCCGTAATAATATATAAATTTATTTATCTCTATAAATTATAAATTATGTCCGTAATGAATTATGATAATCGTTTCTCAGGTTACGTTTGGTTAGGTTAGACTAGGTTATTTCTTAAATAGGATATGAACTTTGAGGCTAGTATCCCTCCAGACAAATCCTTTCTTCAAACAATGTTCATTACATGTTGAGTAAAAAAACGTTGATTAGACGTTTAATCAACGTTATTCCAACGTCGATTCAAGGTCGTTTAATCAACATCAGATGCCTAGTGGGTAATTAGTCCTGAAGGCAACGATGGTAATGAACGTTATTAATTACTCCTACAGGCGACGTAGGTAATGAACGTTATTAATTACTCCTGCAGGTGACGAAGGTAATGAACGTTATTAATTACTCCAATGAACGTTATTATTACTCCTGCAGGCGACGTAGGTAGTGAACGTTATTAATTACTCCTACAGGCGACGTAGGTAATGAACGTTATTAATTACTCTGCAGGTGACGAAGGTAATGAACGTTATTAATTACTCCTGCAGGCGACGTAGGTAATGAAAGTTATTAATTACTCCTTAATATGACGAAGGTAATGAACGTTATTAATTACTCCATAATATGACGACGGTAATGAACGTTATTAATTACTCCTGCAGGCGACGACGACTCGCCTGTTGGGGTGACGTGTCGCCGGGACCACGGGACGCGGGCCCTGCAGGCGACGACGTCACGTCGCGCGCGGGCGACGTACGCGGCGACGACGTCGTGACGGGCGGCGTCAGGCGACCAGCGGGACGGCGACACCTGCAGCTCCATGTCCTGGGGGGAGGGGAGGGAGGGGGAGGTGGTTGAAAGGGTAGGGGGAAGGGGTTGAGAGGAGGGGAGGTGCAACACCTGCAGCTCCAGATCCTGGGGGAGAGGGGAGGGAAGGGATGGTGGTTGAAATGGAGGGGGGAAGGGGTTGGGAGAGGGAAGGGGTAACACCAGGTCCTGGGATGGCGGTGGGGAAAGGAAGGTTGAATTTGAAAAGAAGGCCTGAGAGGCGGGGGTTGAAGTGTGGGGGTGGAGGGTGAGGGTTTTAAGGCGGTGCTGCAGAGTGGCCTGGGGCTGCTACCCGAAAAATGTACCAAGGTTATCGAGGTATTATGGTGGTGGTTTTGTGCTTGTGTTGTGGTAGTTTTAAGGTGTTATTGTTACAACCACCACCACTACCATCATCATCATCATCCGCGCCACGCACCTGCGGGCTCAAGTTCCTGTAGGCGTCCAAACTGGGGGTGGGCGGGGGAGGGGTCATCCTGCAGGTCCTGTTGTGAACGCAGACACGATCGTTCGTTCGAGTCACTGTGTGAACGCAGACACGATCGTTCGTTCGAGTCACTGTGTGAACGCAGACACGATCGTTCGAGTCGCTGTGTGAACGCAGACACGATCGTTCGAGTCGCTGTGTGAACGCAGACACGATCGTTTAAGTCACTGTGTGAACGCAGACACGATCGTTCGAGTCGCTTTTTGAACGCAGACACGATCTTTCAAGTCGCTGCGTGAACGCAGACACGATCTTTTGAGTCGCTGTGTGAACGCAGACACTGTAGCGGAGAACCACTAACATGTACTGGCCACAATTGGAAGTTTATTGCACATTTCGCTGCAAATTGGCTAATAATATAATGGGGATAATAAAGAGCCCTTATCTTAATATTTTAAATGAAAAAAAACCTTGGCAAACACAAATTATTCGTAATTTAGGTAAAGATAGTCTATTATGCTAATCTAAATTATACATAGGAGACTTATCACCAGAACGTTATAACACCAACGGACAACAGTCGTCGAATAACGTATCAACGCTCAATGACGAACATATTACGTCTCTACGACGTCTCTTGTTGAAGTCCTGGAAATGCCAGGGATTCCTCTCCTAGCTCGTCTCCTTGGGAATCATTCGTTTCTTCTCACTATTTGCTGTACAGTACTTTGAATTCTGACACAGCGAATTATCTTCATTACAATGAGTCAACCCAATGCCAACAGTTGTAGGCCAGGAAGAGGGATAGTTAATCAGTGACAGCAGCTGTTGTGGGATGACTGGTTCCACGCAACGAACTCAGATATAATAAGATAATGAGGTACGCATGGCAACATTATCACCGCGTAGACGAGATGGCACGAGGTGGATGTTGACTATTAATATGGTAAATATTCGGTACATCAATCGGGTAGGATCTAAAAAATGAGGTGGCTTCACTTTACAAGATGGCGAAAAATCGGCATAGCTTTCATTCCATAATCTCTGTCCCTCTTCTCTCGCTCGTCTCTCTCCTTTTTTATTTACCGTATACGTAAATGTGGCAAACCTCTTCTCAATATAAGTGCGGAACTCCATAAAAATTTATTAACTATGACGCGAATATTTTGCCGCGAATAAATGAAAAAATCCTTAAAATTATACATTCAATATTCCTATAAATGAATAATCTTAATTATTATGCGTATTCCCATACAACTATCATTACAACACGATCTTTCTAGTCGCTGCGTGAACACAGACACGATCGTTCGAGTCGCTGCGTGAACACAGACACGATCGTTCGAGTCGCTGCGTGAACGTAGACACGATCGTTCGAGTCACTGTGTGAACGCAGACACGATCGTTCGAGTCACTGTGTGAACACAGACACGATCGTTCGAGTTGCTGTGTGACCGCAGACACGATCGTTCAAGTCGCCGCGTGAACGCAGATACGATCGTTCGAGTCGCTGTGTGAACGCAGACACGATCTTTCGAGTCGCTGTGTGAACGCAGACACGGTCGTTCCAGGCGCAATCGTTCGAATCGCTGTGTGAACGTAGACACGATCGTTCGAGTCGCTGTGTGAACGTAGACGCGATCGTTCGAGTCGCTGTGTGAACGCAGACACGATCGTTCGAGTCGCTGTGTGAACGCACACAAAGAAGCACTATACGATTTCCAGACGCTAGAGTTCTGTCCCCTATATTCCTATAGTACAAAACACAAAGCACACACACGTAAATGTATATATACACAACACAGGATGTATTTCGTTGTCTGTTTTAATAGCATAAATTGATCAATATGCACCTCGCCTGCTCGCCTGGACTCGACTGAGGCAGCATCGTCTGTGGCATTCGCCTTACCCTTGAGCGCCGCCTTAAGCCTTGGCTGGAACCGGACCCTAACCCTGGCTTAGTACTGAAGCCTTAGACTTAGTCCTAAGGATAAACCCTAGAACCTGGCTTAGTACTAAAGCCAGACCCTAACCATGGCTTTGACATTTACATGACAAAATTTTAATAACCCCACTAACCCTAATGGCATCGCACTAACCCTATTGGCATCGCACTAACCCTGTTGGCATCGCACTAACCCTGTTGGCATCGCACCAACCTTAACTTCAGTTTATAAAACATACAAGAATATTCATTGTTTATTAAAGGTTCTAGAAGGATTACCATAACATATAATAAGGACTAATTCCTGCGGCCATTTTAATATAATTAAAAAATTTGCGGTTTAATTAATATATATATATATATATATATATATATATTGAACTACATATAAATAATCATTCAATAATATTTATTGATAAACAATTTATACAGCAGCTCAACAAAAAATTAAAGTTACCTTTAAAATAAAGTACAACTTGACAGTTCGCTTAATTTTAATTTATTTCCTTTCAAGTTATTACTAATAACGATCTTTATTTTATTACGTAACTCGTTTACTGTTTATTGCAAATGTGCAAATAGCGATGAACTTTTTGCCCTTGCGTGGGTCATCCTGACCCAGTTTGGCACGGTAAAAAAGACGTATCACAATTTGGTCATTATGAGCCATAATGTTTGGTGAGTGCATGCCGATGTACTGTCATGCTTATTCAAGTGTAATGACAACAAGATTATCATGTTAATAAAATATTAAGTGAGTTTAAAATAATTTTATTCTTCGTGTTTGATTAATGGATCACAAGAGGGGAGAAGGGAGAGAGCGAGAGGGAGGGGGAGGGAGGGAGGGAGGGGGGGGATAAATGTAGGGGGGTGAGGGTTGCCCCGTTCACGTCGTGGCGTCGTAGACGAGCTTGGCGGCCACGGCGTCCTGGGCAGCCAGTCCTAATAATTATAATAATGATAATAGTAATAATAATAATAATAATATTAATAATAATATAATTACTAATATAATTAATATTGACAAGTAAACAAGACCCCAGGTAGCAAGTACAGCAGAGTTAGTTTAGGGACACCAACCCAAGGTCATGCTGCAAGCACCACCCATTGACGGCTACCAAGAGTTGCTCTCCAGCGACACGGAGAAATAAAATTAGCTTCCCACGACTCGCTCCCTTCATATTAATACCCCTACCACCTGCACTACAGGCATCTACCATCATTTACACCAGCATCTACCTTCAACTATACAGCATCTCCAATCATCCGCATCAGCATCTACCAACATCTACATCTACCCAGGCATTCACCTTCATCTATACCAGCATCCACCTTCATCTATACCAGCATCCACCTTCATCTATACCAGCAACTACCATCATCTATACCAGCCACTAACAACATCTACATCAGCAACAACCATCATCTAAACTTGTATCTACCATCATCCACCATCACCCATATGCTCACCCAAGGACTTGAAGATGACAATCCCCCGTTGGGGGACCGACAGCTTCCCCTTAATGACGTCCCCCACCTCCCCCACCACTGCTGTCCTGGTATGCACGATGTCACCTGCACGACAAACGTTATTGTAATATTTTCCTTAACATCATTATTGGCACGACACTAGCACGACACTTCCCTAGTATCCTTAGGATACTAGAGAAGAGAAGAAGTGAGTATCCGTAGTGTCCTAGGAAGGACACTAAGGGCACTTCCCTAGTATCCTTAGTGTTTCGGACAGCTCCAGGACACACTAGACGCCGCCTTAGTCAAGCAAATGAACCCTCACGCCTGCACCGTGGCCGCTGCCATATCGGCCTGTCGAAAGCCTTCGACAGTGTCGACCACCCACTACTCTATCCATGATCGCTGCACCCACCCTACACCCAACCTAGTCTGTTCTACCTCAGAGGCAGACTACCATCCTGCCTCTACCTTCGATTCCAATCCCCTTCCACGAGCATACACACGGGAGTTCCTCAAGGGTCGGTCATCTCTCCCACCCCCTTTAACTTCTTTAGTTCAGACTGCCCAGTCCCACCTTCAACATCACACCCTACGTCCTCGGTCAGACTCTTCATACCAGACACTTGTCAATCCTGAGTCCATCCTGACGCTTTCATCGGTAACAGTTGCATCCCATTGGACAAGACTCCAAAAATCCTGGAAGTCACCTGGGATACCCACTTCACCCTCTCCCCACGTCCTAGCACCATCCCCTGTCTCTCTAAAGGTCCCAACCATGACCAGCTGGGGTTTCTATGAGGAAGTCATCACGGCCACCTATAAATCCATCACCCGACCAATACTTAACTATGCCACCCCAATCTGGTATCCCATTTCCTCCCGCTCCCCTGTCACGAACCTGTAGTTCGTGCGGAACTTGGCAAGTCCCCCGCGAACTCGGAAGGACCCACGTGAACTGAGCTGCCTTATTATGATCGCCATAGCCCACCTGTACACCTAAACAAGTGTCCTTCCCTTGGCCGCCCACCTGCCCCTCGTTTGCTCACAGTTCCTGGGAAGCGCACTCCAGGCTCACCATCCTTCCTTCCTTCTGGTTTCGGGTCCTCCTGGGGAAGGACTCATGGAAGCGACCTTACCGTTCGGCTACAGTTACCTCGTGGCCCCTTGTTGGTAGCTGACCACATACCAGAAGGCTCTTATTGTCCAGGCGAATCCTTCGCTGGAAAATCACCTTTCACGCAGCAGTGACCGCTGAGAACAACGATCCTGTTTTTTTGTGTGCCTTGCTTCCTTGACCTTACCGTTTAGCAACCCTAGGGTCAACTTTGGCGCAGTGCTATATCACGCACCATCACGCACCATCACGCACCATCACGCACCATCACGCACCATCACGCACCATCACGCAAACTGGCAGTGCTGTCAGCATTACTGAACTGGCAGTGCTGTCAGCATTACTGAACTGGCAGTCATGTCAGCATTATGTCAGCATTATCATTACCACTGCACCTAGGATGATGGCGTCAGGCTTGAGCCACGTCAGCTGCAGCAGCTGATGCAGGCGGGTGGTGCAGGTGGCGATGACGTCAGCATCCTGCACCGCCTGCTGCAGGCTGTCAGCTGCCAGCGCTGGCACACCGTCAGCCTGCAGCGCCGCTGTCAGCTCCTGGCACCCGCCACGCGACCACACCCGCACCTGTCAGCCAGCCGTGACCCACTTTAGTCCATGACCCACTTCAGTCTCATGACCCACATAAGTCACATGACCCACATAAGTCTCATGACCCACTTTAGTCCATGACCCACTTAAGTATCGTGACCCACTTCAGTCTCATGACCCACTTCAGTCTCGTTACCCACTTCAGTCTCATGACCCACTTCAGTCTCATGACCCACTTCAGTCTCATGACCCACTTAAGTCTCATGACCCACTTAAGTCTCATGACCCACTTCAGTCCATGACCCACTTCAGCCTCATGACCCACTTCAGTCTCATGACCCACATAAGTCTCATGACCCACTTCAGTCTCGTGACCCACTTCAGTCTCATGACCCACATCAGTCTCATGACCCACTTCAGTCCATGACCCACTTCAGTCTCATGACCCACTTAAGTCTCATGACCCACTTAAGTCCCATGACCCACCTGGGTGGGTTGCATGATGTTGTTGAGGGCTCTANCCCCGACCGCCTCTGCCAGGGTTATTATTATTAAATTAGATAATATAATAAAGGTTATTAGATAGGGTTATCAAGATAATATAATAAAAATTAAATGTCAGCTTCGTGTTGAAACTTTCACTTGTTCTATAATATAAATGGTAATTTTATTAATCATCTTTCAATTTAATATTACATTCATTTGTTGTGTACATGACGTGAAAATTGAATGGCAAACGTCATATATAACATTGTAGGAATAATATAATAGAATATATGTCCCGAACATTGACCGCTACATGTACTTAGGCCGCTACGTGTACTTAGGCCGCTACGTATTTGTACTCAGGCCGCTACGTGTACTTAGGTCGCTACGTGTACTTAGGTCGCTACGTGTACTTAGGCCGCTACGTGTACTTAGGCCGCTATTTGTACTCAGGCCGCTGCGTGTACTTAGGTCGCTACGTGTACTTAGGCCGCTACGTGTACTTAGGCCACCACGTGTACTCAAGCAATATTTTACAATACCGCCCCCGGTTGATACAATAGGAAAACTCCGACACTCCGGCATTGCTGTATGACACTGGACTAATTCAGCCAGAATAATACGTGGGTCTTGGTTTTTTGGCCTTGGTTCTTTAGGCCTTCGTTGTTTGGGCCTTAGGTTTTTGGGCTTTGATTTTTCGCCCGAACTCCTTGGGTTCGTGCTAGTCCTGTCAGCATTACGCAGTCCTGTCAGCATTACTGAACTGGCAGTGATGTTTTGTGTGTGTTTAGCAATTGTCAAAATTCATGTAGCCTCGATGCCAGTGTCATAGACTCATAAGTAATTGCCGCACAATGGACAACAATATTTTTCTTGCGGTTGGTTGACTGATGACTGTATATAGTGTCGTCCCTCATAACCCACTCTCATAACCCACCTGTTTGGCCGCGGCTTCGTCGGATGGCCACCGATGCCGCGGCTGAGGCCGCCGCTGTCCGCAGCTCCGTAACGCTCGTGCCGTCCACCAACTGTGGCACGTGACGTAAAGTGAGTCATAACGCCGCAACACATGGCACAAAGTGAGTCATAACGCCGTAACACATGGCACAAAGTGAGTCATGACGCAGTACGCTGCAACACATAACACAAAGTGAGTCAAGTTGACTCACTGCGAGAGGTAGGCCGGTGCAGGCGTCGTGCAGGACGATGAGGGCGTTGTGGGAGGGTAGGCCGAGTTTGGCGTTGTTGGGGTAAACCGTCAGAATTTTGGTGGCCAGCGCCTGCTTAGGCCGCACTAGGCCTGGCATCACTATTTTCAATCTGTGGGTAGTTTTGTGAAATATCAAATAAAATAATTAATTTGATGAAATAATAATCCTAAAATGAGTTTCCCAGCCCGGAAATCACGAACTTCACTCCGTTGGTTGTGAAAAGTGAGGAGTTTCAATGATTAATAATCTCATAATATTTATTTAATACATAAACAACCCGGGCAACATTAACTCTATCCAATAGTTAGGATTTTTGGATATAAATTCTAATTAATGAAAAATGATCCCGAAAATATTATTATATAATCATATTATATATTAATGGCGTCAGTAAATTCATCTCGTCTAGCGTCAGCGCCATGCGTAAAGTCGAGTGTTGAACTGGACCGTTATTTTGTGGGCCATTCAGTAGGACTGACCCGCTATTTTGTGGGTCATACGGTTGAACTGACCCGTTATTTTGTGGGTCATACAGTTGAACTGACCCGTTATTTTGTGGGTCATACAGTAGGACTGACCCGTTATTTTGTGGGTCATACAGTAGGACTGACCCGTTATTTTGTGGGTCATACAGTAGGACTGACCCGTTATTTTGCGGGTCATACAGTAGGACTGACCCGTTATTTTGTGTGTCATACAGTTGAACTGACCCGTTATTTTGTGGGTCATACAGTAGGACTGACCCGTTATTTTGCGGGTCATAAAGACGGTTCCTGAGCGGCTGCTCGACGAGCCCCTCGGAGGAGAAGGCCTCGAAGACGTCCCGCATGGCGGGCAGCAGGACGTCCCATGTGAGCACTCGCCGCACATCGCGGCCTGACATATGTGTTATATGCATAATACTCACATAATTCACTAGCATCAGCAGCATGAATATATCATCATAATAAATTAATAGAAGTAAAGATTTATTCTATATTACAAGCTGTGAGTGGATCAGGATCTTTCGGCGTCAGACACGGTAAGCACCCACTGCACCTCGCGACCCGAAATGCGCCATAGGTAATATATATTTTTTTCTGACATTAGGTAAAATATTCAAATATTCATGTAACATAATAAATAAATTTTCCAAATATTCACTGAAAATATTTATTTTGCTGAAGTTACATGGTAGTTCGTAATTCAGTACACAATTAAACATTTTTACCAGCATTATTCAGTAGTTTAGTCATGTTATTCAATAGTTTAGTGCCATTATTCGGAACTTGTAGCTCCAGTATTCTCTTCCTTTAGATATGGAACATTGTGATTCGTATCATATGGATCATGATTTTTCGGTGCACCACATGGATCTCAAAAATATTGAGTCATTGCTACGTAAATGCCCTTGTGCAGTCATTACTAAATGCCATAGAATTAACCCCCAATATATTTTTATTTCACCTGATATCCATCGCGGTGCAGCGTCCCCAGCCTGCGCCATGACAAGGAAGGACTTCGACTGCTCCCACAACAAAAAACTTAGTTATTTTTATTCCATTTATATAAAGTACCGGTTGTGCCGCTTATCATCTTAAAAAAAGTTTTATCTATATTAGAGCAGACCTGCTATGATAGGCCTATAGGTCAATCTATGACGCTAAAATATTAGGTCTATGAAAACGATACTACTTTTAAAATATACATGAAATATTAAAATAAGCGACCTAAAGGCATATCTTTCATGCAAAATCACTTCGATATTAACCTAATTATAAAATAAACCGATAAAACACGTCGTAATATGAAAGATAATATTAATAATTTTCTTCATTATCCAATTAAGATAGGTTGCTCAAGTTGTTGCTTTTGAGATAAAATACAAGTGACAAAACTGCGCGACTCTCCACGCACCATGGACGACTGAATGTCGTCTTCTGCTACTCTCAATATCGGGGGCTTTATCATCGACCTTGAAAGCTTGGTCGCCCCGGAGCTATGGTTACTTTATTTGAATTATATTAACCATTAATTGATGCACTATTTTCTAAACTTCCACCTTTGAACGAGGCTCCATTTAAGTTAATTTTTTATAATTATATGGATTCGGATTTGGGATTCATCTGCATGTGAAGTTTACCGCAAAAGGATAACTTCGTGCTCATGAATAATGAATCATAAACCAACTCCAAAGATCACTTAAGTACAAAAACTTTAATATTTCCCTTTCATAACTTTAGAAAGTCCGCAATTCTTATGAATTCAATCAAAATAATATTTTTTATATAGATTTGTCGCATTGTAGTTTCCAAATACTTGTAGCGATAATTCTGGCAACATCGTAGAACGCTCTGGCAGTCTCTGTTGCGGTCCAGCCGGTCCTACCTACATTCCTTCCTGTTCATCGTCAATCGTCATACGTGTTCCTGCCTGTTAGTCGTGTCGGCGTTGATTTGTCAAGATGACGTAAGTACTTGTTTACTTCAATATAGATGTAATTATTATTTACACTTTTGTGTATCATTGTCTTAATTACTATTGTTAGAATATGTTTGTATTTCTTGCTGTAATATATTACTCGGCCCTGAAATGTGTCGTAAACATGCGGGCGCTTTTCACCCTTGGCTTATGCCATCATCTGGTCAGTCTGGTGCTCTACGTTGTCAATTTAGACAATTTGTCATATCATTTGCAGATCAAGTCGCGTAGTATAAGTATAGTCCATTTTTTATTTATTTTTCAATGAGTTTAAATTTACCGTGGATTCATTTATGGATTTGGGCTGAGCCGGGTGGAATTCTACCACGTGAAAATTTAAAAAACTGTCATGTCGGTCATTCATTACTATTAGGTAGTGTGCGGCTGTGCCTAGCAACTTCAGTCCTTATATTAGTTTATAAAATGGAGGTTAGGCTAGTTTCAGGATTTTAGAATGAATAGAGCGATTTACTCTACTGGTCTAGTCTAGTCTGACTGTCTGAGACCAGTTGAGTACCTAGGTAGGCTAAGTTGCTAACTAGAACTTGTGTTTGTGTAGAAGGGCACCCAATTCCCAAAGAGTACTAGGTAGGTATGTGCATTGTGCATAACATTTTATTTCGTCAGACAGGGTGGAATTCTAGAAATGGAGGTTCACTTATAAAAAAGCTTTCCACCCAAGGTGAAATGCTTTCCTTAGATACAGTGCTCTGCCAGGTGACTGACTATAAATGAAAAGGAGGATCAAAAGTGGACAAACGGTTTCAATTGTATAGTACCTCAGATTTGTTATAAAATTGTTTGAATGTCTCTTGTTTGATAGATATTCTCTATTTTTCTTTTATTTAATGGATTTTTTGAAAATTTTCCAGGCTTTTTGTTTGATCAAGTTTAAGTTAAGTATTTAGTTAACCAGTACTGTAGTACATATACCATATTTGGAGGCGGGGCTTATGGGCACAACCAATCACAGCTGGAAAGCATCCTCATCAACCAATCACTGCTTGAAAGCATCCCCAGCAACCAATCACAGCTAGAAAGCAGATAACATTACAACTCCATTAACCAATTACAGCTGGAAAGCTGGAAGGGGGCTAAAAGTAAAATCACAATCCCATAAACCAATTACAGATGAAAAATGATAGGATATGTATAATGTATATAATAAAATGGACTGGAAGTGGAAAGTTCCTGGACTTTCCAACCTTTCAGGTCCTGCTTTCCAATATGCTATGTGTACTGGTTAATTTAATATCCCTCTAGAATTCCACACTGTACGTCAGATCTTAATGAAAATTATACAGCTGATCAGAAAGCATTTAGGAAATTAGGTATCTTATATTTTGTATACCTAAACATAGTGACAAACCAGAGATTTTTTAGAATCAGTTCATTTTTAATTTCCTCATTTACCCAAGATTTAAACCAATTTCTTATGTATGATGATTGATGATGCTGGTATCCAGGATACTTTACTGGTCTACTTATAGGACTCAAAAATGAACTTGAGGGAGTGTCTAAAAAACTCTGTTTTGCCACTATGTACCTAAATACAAGTGGAAATGTAGAATACAATTTTACAAATAATTGTGAGGAAGATACAACTTTTTTCCTTTACTAAACGTCTCCAAAATGGACCAATTTTTGCCACATTTTTGGAAAAACTATAATTTCTATGATTTAAACTACTTTCAAGATTTCCTATGAGTCAATTTGAGATTTTAGTACTATTAGAAAACTCTGGTTGTAGGCTAGCCTATCTATTCTAATGGGTGTGACTGTGACTGATGGATATGAATGCAAATTATTCAATTTATATGATTAATTGAATGGTATAAATTTAGTGAATGGCAAAATTAAATTGACTTAATTCCAGTTAAATAAATGAGCTATAATTAAATACTGAATTGGTGACATTAGAAATTGCAAGATGAATAAATGATATGAATGATCCATTGAAAGATAGATGAATGATGAATGAGTGATGCATGTAGGTTAATTGATGCATTCATTATATTATAGGTAAATGATAGGAAAAATAGGAATGACAATAAATGTTAAATTTTAAATGATGATAATAATACATATGAATAATAATTGCCATTGGGCATTGCCTTGCCATCCCTAGCCTAGAGCTAGGCTGGCTGGCTGTAGCATACTAGCACTTGGATAAATTTCACGAGTTAGTAGATCAGGGGGCTAAGTGCAAGGAAAAAATTTCATGTAATGATGTCTTTCCAGCAGTAAAATTGCCCTTTTTACTGCTGGAAAGACATAATTTTTCCCAAAAAAGTGCTGAGAAAAAAAAAAAAAACATTTTTTCAACTTCAGTGGCAGTTTGAAACGCATGAGGATTTATCTTGAATGTAACTAGTTTCATTGCTTTAAGCCATGTCTCGTGTGCCCACAAGGTAGTCATTAGTTCACATGAAGGTTTTGGGCATATCAATTCTGGTAGGAGTCTTAGTACTGAATAGTGAAATTGCTTGGAACAGCATTGATTTGCAAAATTTCTGATGGAACCAAAATCATGAGATCAGGGAGATGCAAGTTTACACATTCACTGAAAATGTCTGGGAGCTGTGAAGTTTCGGTAAAAATTAGGAATTTTACTTGTATTATAGAGGATAAGATACATGCCTTGACACTTGGGCTCCTTTTTGATAAATTGAATAATTTTTGAAATATCAGTCTGATATTGAAGTAGTTATTCAGTACTATATCATGTTATTCAGTCTAATAGGCCTTTAAGTATTACAAAGTTGGTGAAAGGGCTGGGGTCTTACTTCTGTGAGCAGGAAATTCATGCTTATATTTGCTTGAAGTTTTTTATAGTGCCAAGCTGCACAAGATTGCCATCTAAAGAAAACGTAGCAATTTGGCTTGTTTTTCTCAGACAAATGGTCAAATCCTTCATAGTTCATTCCTTGAATGATGTAGCCATTATTCGGAACTTTGGAACAGACTTTTTTTGCATTGTCATTTTGCATCCAGTTAGGGTTTTTAGTCAGTTTTTGAAAAGATAATGTAATTTTCTCCGCAATTTAACAAAAGTAACAATTTTCTCAACACTACTTCTAAATATGATACCCATTAATTTTTAATAAGATTGATTGAACTTAGAATTGGCATACATATTTAAAAAACTGTATATTATACTAGATTGTTTTATTATGTTGCTTCATTTGCCTTGCAGGACTAAGGTGTCAAAGGAGACACTCTACGAGTGTGTGAATGCAGTCCTTGAAGGAGCCAAGACTAAGAAGAGGAACTTCAGGGAGACGGTTGAGCTCCAAGTTGGTCTCAAGAATTATGACCCACAAAAGGACAAGCGATTCAGTGGCACCGTCAAGTAAGTCACCTGCTTCTCTCACGTTCTCTGCAACATGATGAATAAAAGTAATTGAATTCAGAGGATCAATTTTAAAATTGATGAAAAGTACCTCTGTGCACTATTGGAGTAGTTAAGAATTGAGCTGGTGTTTATATTGGTGTTGAATTTCCATGAAATTTGAGGTTCAGTTCCAATTTGAATTTTTTTTTATAGAAATCTCAATGAGAATGAAGCTTTAGCACGTCTTTCGTGAAACTGAATAACTGTTCAATTTGCTCATTACTAAATAAAGTCACAAATATGATTGCACATTGATAATGATGTACGTCTTGTGCTGATGCAAGAACCATTTCTGTACATAAAATTCCCTAAGTACATGTTGCACTGAGCTGGTGAAGCTAGGTAGTTGGTAGCCAAGCTACTGACGGACTCATACCCAGGGGTCTTAAAACTAATGGGTAGGCAGGATCTGTCTTGCTGACCCAGCGCTATGCTGGTAACCTGGTAGCATATAAAGTAACCCTGAAGTTGAGGGTAACTTTGATAACTCGGAATAGCATTCAGTGCTGTTATGGTTGACAATGGAGGATGACTTGCTGCCCATCTCTTGCCATTGTTGGTGAGTTTGTAACATGTGGATAGATTGTGGAATTATTGAATAAATATTGGCTAGGGTTAGCAAATGTGAATGTGTGCAAATTTATTGCTCTTGTACAAAACTTTAGAGGTACCTATGTGCTTGGATTTTGAACATTTTCACTTGCTGGCATACTAAATGTTTTGTTAGCCTTTGTATGTGACCTGCCATGTCTTTAGTAGGTCTTGTGTAGAGAAGCAAGCTTAAGCAAATCAAGGTGCAGGTGTGTTCTGCAGATACGGTTATATGATCTGTATATGGTCGTATGATGTGTGGTGGATGAATGAGTGAAAATGATGTATGGATGAGTGAAAATGATGTATGGATGAGTGAAAATGAGGTAAGGATGACTGAAAATGATGCAAGGATGAGTGAAAATGCTGTATGGATGAGTGAAAATGCTGTATGGATGAGTGAAAATGCTGTATGGATGAGTGAAAATGCTGTATGGATGAGTGAAAATGATGTATGGATGAGTGAAAATGATGTATGGATGAGTGAAAATGATGTATGGATGAGTGAAAATGATGCAAGGATGAGTGAAAATGATGCAAGGATGAGTGAAAATGATGCAAGAATGATGCTTGGATGATGATTAAATGATGCTTGGATGATGATTAAATGATGCTTGGATGATGATTAAATGATGCTTGGATGATGATTAAATGATGCATGGATGACTGGATGTTTTGCAGGCTGAAGCACATCCCCAAGCCCAAGATGCAGGTGTGTGTGCTGGGAGATCAGGTGCACTTGGATCAGGCCAAGGAGCTTGGGCTTCCCTGCATGTCTGCTGATGATCTCAAGAAGCTGAACAAGGACAAGAAGCTCGTCAAGAAACTCGGTTCGTAACTTCGATCATTCTTACAAAAAGAATTTTTGGTAGTTTTTTTTTTTCAAGTAAGCGATTTTATTGTCGAAATTTACTCAATTTTTAACAAAAATTTAAGCCATTGAAAGAAATGATAGTGACAGTTGGTTTAGCGACCCCGGTGTGGGAAATAATGCTAGGGTGTTAACATCTCAGCAATGCTTCGTGTCAATGTCTGTCATTCACACATGATGAAACACTAACAAGTTTTCTCTGACTCACCATGTGATGAGCATTTCCTAGCTCACTCTGAACTAATCCTGCTTTCTTGCAATCACTTTTTCTCAGTTCCATAGGCTTTCAATAGACATTATTTCTTTGCAGCTAAGAAGTACAACGCGTTCCTGGCATCAGAGTCCCTGATTAAGCAGATCCCTCGTCTGCTGGGCCCCGGTCTCAACAAGGCTGGAAAGTTCCCCACCATGGTGACTCATCAGGACAAACTCACCGAGAAGGTTGATGAGATCAAAGCAACCATCAAGTTCCAGATGAAGAAGGTTCGTGCACTCTTTTTCCTGCCGAGATAACAGCGTCGTGACTTATCACTGCTAAATATTTTATTTTGGTAAAACTCAAGTTCAATTCACAAGATAGGGTGCAATACGCTTTAAGCGTATCGCGAAACTTTGGCAATCGTTAAGCGTAAACTCAAATTGCTCATGTAAGCTTTTGTGATTCATTTTGCTAGGTAGTCTCGGATTGGTCACAGGGCCTGGGCTTAAAGGACGTTTTCCTTTTCGTTGATATGTATTGATTTTTTGGGGATGTTTATGCATCATTCGTCTCAATTTTATAACATCCGGGGCCATTGTGTCCCCTTGAAAATATTTTTATTAAATTGGTACACCTGCTAGGTGACCTTGGTGCCCCAGGTTTACACTTGTTTCATAACAAGCAAGTCAAAGATCCATACTGTCCTCGGAGAATGTCGGTTGACTCCCTTATATTTTAGCAATGCCTCGCATTTTTTCCATCTGAATTTACTCGTCAACAAAAAAATATTGATGAAGGACGATGTGCGGGATTTCTATAACATTTTTATCTGATGATTAAGCATGTATTACCCGATGTCCATTGACGACATTCTACCTCTGATCCATCTTTGTCTCAACGCCTCCTCTCCCTAGCCACGCTTACAAGCTCTAACATGAATCCCGTCTCTCTCGGCTTAGGTGTTGTGCCTCTCTGTGGCCATCGGGCACATCGACCACAGTCCCGACGACCTCGTGCAGAACATTTACATCGCCATGAACTTCCTGGTGTCCCTGCTCAAGAAGCACTGGCAGAACGTCAAGTCCCTGCACATCAAGAGCACCATGGGCAAAGTCCAGCGGCTCTACTAAATAAATGCCGCAGTTCGTTGCTGCCGTCAACGTGGTCTAGTCTTTCATTATCCTATTGGACGCAACACACAATTGAATTGATAAAATTATTCAATCGGTTATTCCAGCTTTTCAGTGATGGAATTCAGCTTTAACGAATCTCAGTTCAACACTCTTACGTAATTTCTTTCCTATGGCCTGTAATTCACCAATTAAATTTCAAATTAATAGTTTCAGAAAACTGGAAGGGCACTGTTTTTTTTTTCAAGATTTATAATGTAATTGTAAAGCCCAAAGTTTTCGTGATGCATTTTGCTTCTCAATCGGTGAGTAATATAAATTAGAGTGAGATATTGACTAAATATCGTTACGGTTTTCACTTCAGCCATTGAAGCATTGTAGATCTAATTGCAACCCCCATACAGAGTTCAAGAGAACCGTTTCGTCAGACTGATGGGTGATTGGCTAGCTACCACTGCCAACTGTTCTCTGTCAACTCTGCGCCGGCGTGATCTATCCCTGTTGCAGTGCCACAGGGCTTGGCTCTGCTAGCAACAAACGGTAAGTTGAGCTTGCATATCGCTTTTGTGAATCGTGAGAAATCGTCCGTAATTTTCATGATGTTCATCTGAGGTATTACCTGATAATCTACGATGATAATTGATGCTGAATTCTTCGCATTTAATCTTCGGTTGTTGAGTTGTTTATTTTGTTGCTGACGGAGTTTTATTGACAGAATGCCAGGGTCGACAGCTGTACCACATGCGAGCTTCAAAACTGCGATTGCATGAGGCAAGAGGATGCACGATGCATCTTCACCGGAAGGCTTGAGAAAATATAGGTAAGATTTCAATTAAGGCCACCAGGAAGGTTATTTGCAATTCAAAACTTCACCTTTCGAATATTGATGAATGAAAGACCTTGAAGAAAAAATTGTAGGGTTGTAACTTTTGACTAGAAGTAGTAAACACAGAAATACACCGACCCGAAGTGCATCGAGTTGCACGTGTTTTATATGATGACTTAATGCATGTATTACCTGCTGAAGCTGATGCTGAAAGTAATCACTGAAATTAGTGACATGAAAAGACTATTAGTGCTTAACGGCGGCAATTACAACAAAACATTTTGTTCCAGATCCTTGGGCGTTCTCTGGAGCAACGGGCAACGAGAATTTAGTGACAATAAATTGTGTGAACATGAGTAACGATTTTTACTGAAATTCTTCATAATCTCGTATTGGCCTGAGATTGCTCGTTCCTGATCTAATACCCTATTTAAGTGAGCAAAGCTAGTAGTCTGAATTCATCTAGGAAATCAATTATAGCATTAACCTTAACGTGAGAATAGCTTCAAAGCTTTATTTACGTGAAGAACATTTCATCGGCGTTGATGATGATTGAAGAGTGTGCGTTCTTAGGATTGAAGCAGTTCAGATTACCGATTGTTTTGCGAGGGTACTATAAACCGAGCTATTTGATTGAAAGTTAGACAAGACGCAGAACTGCACGGAAATTTTCGCTGACATTGCGGCAATAATGAAATTCTATACAAATCTGTCTTTCAAATAGCATTCATTAACATTCTTTTTATTGAACAGTATTCATTGATGAACAAATTCTATTCATTGGACGCGTCGGGCAATGGCTTCAATTTGAAGTTCCCAGTAGTCACTTCACCTACGGATGTTCAAGGAAAATGATGAGTACATAAGATTATATAATTTATATACATGAAGTGCCACACTATTCGTAGTCTTGCTTGGGAGGTTCTTGTTTATTGATGACAATCTGGTAATTAGGTCCGCATATGTCTTGTTCGGTCAGCATCTCCCGCTCCTCCCCTAGGTCCTCTAGCAGTTCTGGTCGCACTCTGTACTTGCCGCGGTAGGCGTACGGTAGCGGGATGAGAGCGGGACATGGCACCTGTCCTAACGTTGTACATATGCACTGTCGCTTGCACCCCCAGCCGAAGTGGGCGGGGTTTGGTTGTATGGGGTCTTTCTTGAGGGCTTCGGCTGCGATTTTTGCTGGAGACTTGCAAAGGACTTTGCGAAGATGATTAATAATAGAGACTCTGTCGTAGCCGTCAACGTCCACCAGAATGTCCTCACCTGTGTCACAGAATGCGCGGAAAAATGGCGCCGGAGTCTGGTTGATGAATGATAAAATCTGCAGGGGGAAATTCACACGATGAATGTTAGTAAAACATGAAATTGATATGACGTCATCACACGACATCACTTCAATCACGAATATGATCGAAGCCTCACCTTACATATATGCATAAAATAAGCGTTTATGAATGACCAGCTACTTAAAGAAGATCAGAGCAACTCTTTCAAGCATTAATCATATGTTAAATAATTCCAATTGCACATTCTCTAATATCATGTCATTATAAATTGAGTTTTCTACTGATATTCTCTCAAACAAGGACCACATAAAATGAAAGAATTGAAAAGATGTTATAGGCAGTGGTGGGCACAGCTAACCTAAAAGTTAGCTTCGATAACCGCTAATCCGCTAACTGAAAAGTTAGCTTCGATAACGCTAAACCGATAAATCACCAAAAAATGTAGCGGAATTTGCCGCTAACCGCTAACTTTTAATATATAAATTTAGATTTCGCTTAATTTTTTTTTTTTTGGGGGGGAACTCTGAAAAACAGGCCTAAAGAGCTAAACTTTCAGCCTTGAAAAGGAGCTTTCCAAAAAGATGTAGCATGCTAAGATCAGATGATGATCAAGATGTACGTAACATAAATAATTAAATGAACAAATAAAATTAGGCAGTAGTTGACATTCAACATACAGTTTATTAAACGAATAAGAAATATTAAGGTTACACCAGGGTTACACACTCATTTTACTCTGGCTTGCTCTTCGCCTTCATCTCCTCGAGGTGATGATTGTTGCCCTTCATGAACATCAGCCTCTCAAAGTTGGCATCTGACAGGGTGGCTCTCTTGGCCCTCAAGATGTCCTTGCCTATGGAAAACAGGCGCTCAGCTGCACACTGAGCACTGGATGGGATGGCTGTGTTGTACTCAACGAAAAGGTTCATCAACACCTGCTCGCCCAAGAAAGCAACGTCAGTCAATTCCTCCTTCGAGCAGCTTTCCAGCCTGGTCTTCACCAAATTCTGAGCCTTGGACTTCAGTGACCAGTGGCTCCTCCTGCACTCGATGGGCTGAGTAATGCTGCTGAAGAAGTCATCTTCCCCATCCTTGTCATTGCTGGTGGTGCTGCTGCCCTCCTCAACGGTCTCCCTCAGGGCTGTCTCCACGGCGGTCTCCATGGCCTTCTGTACCCTGCTGAGATGGCTGTGATTATGCTTTTCCAGCCAGAACAGGCGAAACTTAGGGTGGAAGGCCGCTGCCAGCTGGCACTCCTTGTCTTCTAGGAGGGGCCCAAACCTATTCGTGATGCCTGCCAGCATTGCGTCCACCAGAGGACTGCAGTATAGGTGTGGGCATGGCACATGGCTTACGATACTTAGCATTAAATCAGAGATTTTGAAACATTTTTAGCGGACTTCCAGTTAGCGGAACCAAATTTAGCGGAAGCTAATTGGTCCACTAAAGGTTTTCAAAGTTAGCTGAACAGCTAATCCGCTAAGGAAAAAGTTAGCTTTGCTAATTAGCGGTTAGCGGATTAGCAGAACTGTGCCCACCACTGGTTATAGGTAATGGCACTTATAAAGTTCCCTTAAATAGGTTAAGACAACCAATATCTATCGAGAATCAAGTTTACTTGCATGCTTGGAGTAAGACATAGTTTTCCTTCTTCCTTTCCAAGTGATAGTACTCAAGAAATATTACAAGTCAACAAAAGCCAATTTTATCTCGTACCTGAACGTTTGGATTGTTGTACTGAAGTTGACTGAGGTTCCAGAAAGCAAACTCGCTCATTCCTTGGTGGTTTTTCTCATTTTTTGTATAGTGTAAGGCCAAAACCTATGGAGAAATAACATTAAATAAACAAAATTCTACTAAAACTTAAACATAGATGTAATATTATGTTCATATATATTTATTATATTTTACTTAGTTCAACAGAAGCAGCCTTAGCCACATAAATTGATCCTTTGCTCTTGACAACTCTTAGCATGATTCCACCAAATTCAAAAATGCAATTCAGACAATACACATAACTATTCAATTTTATAAGAAGTGTCAAACAACACTAACATAGGGAAATATCTCGAGTCAAGATCCTATTCAAACACATGGTACTTCTTTATTTAAAATTTCATCATGTCAGGAATAAGTTAGAGGTCTCACAAATTGACATCTCCAACTGGAAATTGATTGCTTCTTGTTTATACTAATAGTAGTTGAAAAACCTTTTCAGAGGGGAAATTGAGGCACAAAGAAGCATAGGTAGAGGATTTCCTGTGATGCTCAATACTCTAGTAAGTAGAATGGCAATAGAAATTAATTTTTATGCAAAGGAGGTTTTGCTGAATGAACACTCAAGATCCCCAAGATGGGAGCCGTAACTTGCAGGTTCAAAGACCCAGCTGGCTGAGTAAATTCTGCGATGTCAAGAATCAACAACAGACAAGACATACATAGACTTAACTTAAATGCTGCCCTCACCAAGCTTTTTTTTTTAATTTCACTGTCTCTCCTCTCTTAAATACATTTTTTCATCAATGGATTTATGCAATTTCACTTGGTACCATTAGAAATTAGAAACATAGTTACTATTTTGGATACTTACACTCTATTGAGACCCTAGCTGCTGAGCATTACAAAGTATCATCAATATTTGGTTGACAAGCATCCTCAATTTATCTCAAGTTCATTTTATTTTCTTTAACTCTACAAGATATTTCTTTAATAGTTTTGACTAGTACAATTAGATAGGTGATAATTAATCTAGCATGAATCTTATGGCTTCTCTAATGGTAACATTGCTCTATTCATGGCTCAGGAAATAGAAATATTCTAAGCTCTTCCCTAACAAGATCAACAGTTATATAGCATTGTACTCATTGCATGGTAATCAAACCCTAAAATTTTATTTTTCACAATTAATGCACAGTTTTTATTGATAAGCAGCAAGTGGAGTGAAGTATTTGCTGGGGTTGCAACACACAACATTGGAATATTCCTACAAATTACCTACATTTTGCAGCTCCAAATCGACACATTTTTAATGAATTTTGAATCTTACAACTTGATTGTGTTCCTTTGTTAAACAATTAGATAGGAGAATAAACATGTGGGGATAGGATAGGAGAATATATACCTATTTAATTTACAAGCCAAACTATTTTTTTCCTGCTATTTTTGGTTTCACCTTACATGAATTATCTCCTAACTAATGCTCAACTAAAGTGCATGATCAAGTCCTTACCTTCCAAATGTATTGAAAATATTACACTTTGGAAGAGCAAACTTTTACAAATCAGTAGGAATTTTCCAATACTCATTTTTTTAGATAATTCATACATTGAGAATTTTGCAGCTACTAAAAAAGACAAAAAGCCTTAGTTGCAGCTTGGAAAGTAAATATATTCTGTGCCTTGTAACTGCTGTGTAATTGATGGTAGCATATATGAGTGAAAAAAGGCTGAGCTTCATCTAAGATGCCAGCCAAAAATACCATTTTATTCCATTCCAACAATAGAAATCAGGCCAGAGCTGCCAGATCTACTGGTAGTCAGGAAGAAATAAGATTGCTCCGGCATGGGCCATTTTGACTCATTCATGAATTGTGAATAATAATCAGCAACCAAATTGGAATACCGGGCATATGCTGAATTTTCCAAAAATTGCAAGTAAAAACTAGCACTTTAAAGGTATATAATTTTAAAAGTTGCAGAAGAAAGACACTTTTTCATTTTTACTTAAGAAATAAAGCAAGTGCCATGAAAAATTGAATTTGACTGCAAGCAAGGGCATTTTAGTCTTAATTATGGGTGGCTTCTGTCCAATTTTCCAGAAGGGCTCAAAGGACCAGGTGCATTTATCTACATGATTTTATTCATAAGTAGGAAAATTCTAGTTGGGAAAAAGTTTTACCTTTCACTGAAATATCACAGCTCTAATTTCATATAATTTTAGTGGGTTTAAAAACTCCAAGCTCTAATGTAATATATTTTCTTTTGATTGGAGAAATTGCAGTTCACAAATGTTTCATTTCACAAAATTTTCAACTTCCCCTGTTCAGTACTAAGTTCCCACCAAAATATCCTTCATAATGAGTGAAACCAAAAGGTTTTGTTGGTGATCACATAGTTGCAGACTTGCAGGTTGCAACTGCAGCAGACAGCAAAAGACCAAGTCTTTTTTGCCGTTTCAAGCATAAAATTCTAGATTTAGGGTAACATGTGCACAGGACTTTGTAAATGAGTTTGCGGCTCTAAAACGGCTTTTCATGGCCTGGATATGGTATTTATAGTTCAAAGAAATGGAATAATGGCTTGCAAATCCATAAAATTATGGATAAAAAAATCCAGTTGGGGTTCATCGAGTAGATGTTTTTATCCCTAAGTGGAAATAATGCAACTTCAGTGGATTTGTACACCTTTTAATGAGCTCTGCAGAAGGCTTGGGCTGCAAAATATGACACTTAATTTTGCTGGATGCACAAAACAAATCATGATTCAATATCTAATTCTGCAGTGCAACCAAAAAGTGAAATCTGTGCAAATTTCAGAGCATGAAACCAGGAAAATTAGTCAGATGAATGCCAGATGCACAAAAGAACAGTAGCTACCATACCAGAAACAACGTTCATGCTTGTTGACCGTTGTATTGCTCAAGAAACAAATGTGAGGTGAATGCGATATGCGTGTGAATACCTACCACAGAGCCCTAGCTCACCGAATATGAGAGGGTACATACACAACAATAAGTCATTCCTTTACAACTTAATAAATTGTTTGTTCAGAGGTGTTTTTTCCTTATTACATAGCAATGTGTTGCAAACTTGGGTTTTGCTCTCAAGACTCAAGCATGTCATGGAACATTGCTGCGCAGTTATGTGTCTGTGTCATCAAAATTTCATTCAAATTTTCAAATGTTTCTGCCTCAGAAGCAAGGATTAATTCATCAACTCACTTATAAATTTCTTAGCTTCTCAGTATTCTGAGCAGTTTAATATATCCCACATTTTTCTTGCATTAACCATGAAAAACACAAATGTTTGATCATATCTGAATGATCCTTTAAAATGTTAAGAGAAAATTTCACATGAATCGATGTAAATCAGTTAAAATTTGAATATTTTCAATAGTCTAAAATACATTCAAAATTTTCAAATAGATACCACAATTTTACTAAAAACTATAGCAAATAGGTCAAGTATCTATTCCTGGAAAGAAATTTTTCTATTTGGAGGTGTTATCAGTTTTTTATTTTCTTCTAGCAAAATTATTGTTAGATACCCTATGTTCAATGCTAGATTATTTCATCTATGACTGACCAGAAATAGGTATATTCTGAATTGAGGTGATGCAAGAGTTAAGTGAAAATTTCTGCTGCATTGCTGCTTGAAGTTAAATCATCTTGCACTGCAATGTAGGTACATGCATTGGAGCTGGTTTTACTATACACAATGCAAGGGTTACATATCCTGATGAAAATAATAAAGTTATTAATATGATATAGCAAGTCAGTGAAGGTAGTTGAAGTGTGGTACAACAGAGTAGTGACAGGAAGAGATCTGTGTTTACAATGTGGATAATAAACCGCTGAGTCAGCAGACCTCTTGTGAATAAAGTGAATACAAGTATGGGCAACCCGATCATGGGCCAGAAAGGCTACTTGCCACTCTCTATGCCCGTTGGTCACCTTGTAATCTCCAGCTCACTGCAAATTTTTTTTTCTACCATTGTCATCACAATTCAAACAAGAGGTTCTCTTATGCTTGCCATCTCAGCTCACAAACAAGCCACTCTTACGCTTGCTATTTCCACTCACATTAGAGGTTCTGTTACGCTTGTACTCCTCCCCATTTGTATGAAGTGTGTATAATTTAACTATGGGAATAGTGAGTGAAGAATTCCATTTTCAAAGCTATAGTTACTACCACTCATTACATTGTAGTTCAGTTAAGTTATCACCCGCCAGTGCTTTCTCTGATATTTAATTGCAAGTCAAGTCTTTGTTCAACAGAGTAATAATTTAAATTAGCATTAGAAGTCATGCATTAATGTTATTAACTGTGCCATTTATATCAATAGAAATAATTTGTATAAGTATTAATTATATAAATATTAAATAATTAAGGAGTGACATTCGGATCTAACAAAAACATGGATTGTCCAATTTATTTTTACTTACTCTATAGAAATTTATAATCAAATAATTTCGTTTTTTCCAATTTGGTTGCTTAGAAAACTGAATACTATTTTCTCAGGTTTTCTGACACAATCACTACGTAGCTGGATTCTCAGCACACTGGGCTGAACACTATTCATGTCCAAACAAATATAATAAGACAAAGTTAAATGTTAGCACGTTTGTCATGAGGTTAATTTTAAAAACATAATTCTTAGCATGGATTTTCAATAATCAGATTTACATTTTTTTCATTTGTAACTTTATATTCTTGACTCTACTAAAAAGCACACATATATTTTAATTATAATAAAAGAAGCTAAAACAAATGCAGTAGGGCACTTAAAAGAGTAATCTTTATTAGACTAAATATATATGTTATTAATTTAAATATTGAATCTTGAAAATGGTAATTCCGTGAGAATGTTCAAGATCTTTTATGAAATCTGTGTAACTGCTTTCCTGTGTAATTCTGTAAAGATTGTTACTTATAGTATGCCTGTTCATTAGGGTAAACGCACCATATTCCGACATTGTGGGTAATTCCGATACTTCTCAACTTTTCCTTTATATCATTACCACGTTTTTCTTGACTTTGTTTCGTGTCTGTCTGTCATCAAAAATTAAAACCTTAATTTAGAGCACTCCTAAACATCCAGTAAGTTGAAATTTGGCATGCATGCTTATTGCATGCTTATGCTGCCCAACAATTCAAGATTTGATCATCAGAAATAATAATTGAAAACAATTTTTTTAAATAATAAAAAAATATTTTAAAAAAACACGGAAAATTCGTGGTTTGGAATTGAGTTTTTTCTCAAACGTCCACACTTGCCCACCCTGGAAATTGATTTTAATTGCTAAAATTGCTAACTAAAAAGTAGAAAATAAATAAATATAAAAATATTTTTAAAAACCATGTTTTTCTGGTTTTTACAAAACTAAAAATTAGTGAAATAAAAAAAAATAAAAAAATAAAAAACGTTTAAAACCCACGTTTTCTTAACTTCTTAACGGACAAAAAAGAAAAACATTTACTCTTACATAACCTTACATAACATTTTACATAACAAACGTTATGTAAGAGTAAATGGTTTTCTTTTTGTCCGTTAAGAAAACGTGGTTTTTACAAAATTTTTTATTTGTTTTATTTTTAAGCTTTGTCTTAGTTCCACACATGCGTAGATGGTTGAAATAGTGACGTCATACTATTGCACGCCAGATTTCCGCAAAACACTAAGTCTGGCTGGAAAATGTTAAGATCCTTGGAGCAAAAGTCCACGTCACCCAGTGAGAACATCGAAAAATGTGTCAAAGTTGATAGTTGACCTTGCTCTACCAAATAGTGATAAACTGTTTGTGTAGATAGAATATTATGGTTTGAGACTTTTAAAAAGTCTGTGAATATATTAGGAATCCTTCTAGTATACTTGTATATGCTGATTTTAAGTGGTAAATAAATTAATAGACGATTTAGTTTAGATGGTTTTAGATACATAAAAACTAATTCCAAGCTGAGACACAAACAGCTTGTTCCGAGCTGTCCAGGGTGCAGAAGGTGGAAGCGGCATCGCCAATATATGGATTTTTAAGCCCAAAGCGTCGCCGACCATTTTCAAATGCGTCGCCAGGTAATTTTTAATGAAAAGCCATTTACGCTGAGTAATGGAAAACTATTTACAAGCCACAAACTTGTGTTACCCCAATAACTAATTAACATGCACGTGTTACCCCAAATAACTAATTTTACCCTAAAAACAGTCAGATTGTACAGCAAGTGTCAACTGAACATGTGATGATGCAGTCTGACTGCTCTAATGTGACCGCAACTATGATTTTGTTTACATTTTTTTTTTGACAGGAACTCATCGCAACTGATTTCCAGACAAGCTTTACTGCATCCTGATCCATCCAACGTACCGTAAAATGGGGTAACTTAGACCGGCGGGGTAACTTAGACCACTTTTCGTTTTTTTTTTAACAAAAACCCCCACAACTCAAAAACTATTTGACATAGAAAAATTTTGTTGATGGGCATTAAAGGCCTAATACTGAGGCTACATAACACAATAGAAAGATTTAAAAAGTTTGCATATCTAATAGGTTAAAAAATTAAAAATGTAAAATTACATAAAGACTATGAGAGGCAGGAGCCAGCAATTTATGGTGAGTGAAGCTAGAGTATAGACCTGTATTTTGCACATTTCAATTCAAGTTTAATTTAGCTAGTAAAAAAATGGCATCATTTATAAAAAAAAGTGGTCTAAGTTACCCCATTTTACGGTACCAGAAACCTTACTTTTTTCAAAATAGTTGGCCAAAGACTGACAAATATATTAAATGAAAGAATTTCAATCTAAATGTGTTGGCAAGATCTTCTGAAGGCGTGAATTTTGCTACTGAAGAGTCGCTAAAGATCTTGCAATATTCATCCACTCTCTGCACAGTGACAAGCTGTGTCCTATTCTGATACAGCTCATGCGTCAGAATTCTAACACAAGGCGTCAGAATTACGAATTATGGTTTTGAAGCATTGTCGGAATCTCACAATATGCCAAATTTAATCACACACAGCGTCAGAATTCAGTGATTTTGTAGATTTGAATTTTAAAGGCTTTTAAATAAATATGGCAACAGTTTGTGACATTTCATCATTGCTGGTGCGTAGTAGGGTGTTTTGAGAGTGACATAAAGCAATCAGAAGTTCAGAACTCAAGTTGCCCTGTTGCGCATATGGTGATCTTTTTATAGCCACTCATTTCTCGCTACCAGCTACATCCTCAAAGTGTCGGAATATGATGTGTTTATCCTACCTTAAATTTGCCGTCATGACTTGGGTTTTTTTTTCCTAGTGAAAATTCAAATCAACTAATCAAGCCACACTCAGGATGATGTATGTTTTTGGTGAATTTTCCCACGCATTTTCACTTTTTTTCAAGCTATTGCTGTGCACAGTTGGCGCAATGTAATGAAAATTGATTATCTTTGCACACGTGTTCGCGCAATCCCGGCCATCTTTATTTTAGAAGAAATTTTCTCCAAAGTCATATGGCAACACTGAACACCGTCTGTTTACATTTCGTATGTATAACAGCCACAGTTTACGATTACCGTACGTTCCGTATCCGACAAGGCGGACAACCGGAAGAGTCAGAAGTAACCCAGACATTTCTTACATTTTATTATTGTCAGTTCGACTCGCGTAGTCAATATACTCGCGTATATTGTCGACTAAAATAGTAGAACTATTTTAGCTTTCTTAAGTACGGCGCATGGCGCATTTTTTTACCAACGTAGTATGGCGCACCGCGCAGGTTGTTAAAATGACAAAATAAATTCCCGCGCACCTGGCACATCTTCCTGACCATGGGCATGGTAATCAAGCACAAGTCTGGATATTTTACCTAATTCCTGAGCCATTTTCCTAATTATTCTAGTAAATAATACCTAAAATAGCTTAGTTATAGTTATACATTTAGTTAGTTATACATTACTTAGTTATACTTAGTTACTTAGTTATACTTATACTTATTTAAGTAGTTAGTTAGTTATTATTATTTAGTTTTAGTTAGTTAGTTACTTAGTTATACTTATACTTAGTGAGTTATACATTTTTAGAGAATAATGCATTGATTCTATTGAAGGACTATTTATTATATTTATACATGCAATTTTAGAAAATTGCTGCCGGATGTTACAAACTGTTCTTAGACGGTTAGACCAACTTAGTGGACTATGACTATGCAGTTATAAAAATTCAAATCATCCTAAAGTAAATTTCCATTTCAGGTGAAGATGATCTGCAATTCCCTTGAAGTTGATCTAATACTAAAAAGTTGTGGATATTTAACATAAAGATACCTAAATTAAAATGGCATGCTCACCTGAACTCTATTTCTCAACTTTAACGGATCTTTTTCAAGATGTGCTAAAGTTCTTCTAACAGCGGCTGGCCCTCGTAGAAATGCAACGCGAAAGCTCTTGAGTGGCATGTTGAAATGAATACTCAACTTTAGAATTACAATATCGCGTTGTCAATATTCTCTTCTGATTAGGCTACCGGCGCTCGGTGAACGACAGGCAGCAGTGATGATGTGATCCACCAATTTAGAATCCGCAATGGCAGAAATAGTTTTTACGACTATTGTTACGGCTATTCGAAACGCATTAAAAAAACAAAAGGATAGAAAAAAATCTGCAAGAAAATTTTATAATATCCACACGCTCCTTTGTATCATTTTTTTTAGCGCATTCTCGTTTATGGAAAAAATGCACTATTGTGCTCGCCATGTCTGTCTGTCCTTCCATGACTTCAAGTTTTCGTCGACGAGAAAATGCTCTCTCTGTCACTCACTGCAGTGAGTACTGAGTTATATTTTTTGATAGACTGGACGAGTGTTCAAAAAACGTTCACATTATAACCAAGCATCCAGACCTTCAGCAGCGGAGTCGCCTATGGCTTTTTTCAACTATGAAATCGACAAATAACTCCCCTCGTAAATATGACATAAATCTGAAATGCTATTTCATTTTTTTCAAAACACGGTCAAGATAATTTTTTAAAACTTGTATTACAACTTTTATCAGGATGGATAATTTTCACCCCAATACTCCGGAAGCGCGGGACTTTGGTATATTTTCGCTAAGTGTGCGATTTTTGCCACATGTCCTCCACTGATCCACATATCATAGATTAGAATAACTTCTGAATCAGGCTACTAGTGACAGATAAAATATAAAAAAAAATGTATAAAAGTCTATCGGAGAATGAAAATTCCGTAGATTAACGCACGATTTCTGCTTCGAGTATTCTAAATGTTAGAGTCATAGCATGCCTAGTGGCTTATAAGGCAACCGCAAGCTCATAAATTACTCGCCCGACACAGCCAAGTTCCCTTTTAGCGCAATTTTTCCTCCCCAGCCCCTAGGTGACCAGCGATCTCATTTATGGGGAAAATGCCTTATTGTACTCGTCATGTCCGTCCGTCTGTGATTTCACGTTTTCGTCGACGAAAAAATGCGCTCTCTGTCACTCACTGCAGTGAGTACAGAGTTATATTTTTTGTTGCAAATATGTAGAGTTCTCATTAGAGAGCCGCCAGTCTCGATTCATTACCAGCGAACAATTAGCCGCCAGTCGCTGACCGTTCATCATTTTGTATTAAATATTTTTTATTTAAATCCTGCACGCACGCAGAGCTCCGGAGCTGGATACGTAATTCTTACCTGGTGATAAACTTGATAATCATTTAAGGTGATTTAAACTTGATAATCACCCATTTATTAAAATGGGTTCAGTAGTTTATTCATTCCAACTATTTAAATTGCTTTCACTAGAATAAGTTCATTATACAGTGCAATATAATAGAGTTTTTTTTATACTATTCCTTGTTTTATATTATCGTAAGATGCTTCCAAAATATTGCAAAAATTTTAAATAATTAATTTTACTCCGACGTAATATTAGAAAATACTATAAAAAGTATAAACTTTCAGCATATTTTCATCGTACCTTGACAACCATGTGGCAGGATAATGCTCATGTACAAACAAGACATGTGCTCCAAAAATACTTTCGCCTGAACTTCGCTAGCATGTTGTAGTATTATAATTCAGTATACAATGAAAGTACAACCACGACCCGTGACGAGATAGAAGATTTCTCAGCTGCTACTTCAGAGGCATGTGGCAGCATGTTCGTCAAGTGCCAACATGCTACGGTCATGTGACTATGTAGACTTTTTCTCCAGGATGATGTCAGTAAAAGATGGCACCGCTGGGAAGACTAGCTAAGACTCCTCCTGAAGAGGAGGGACTAGTATGTTGGATTTCGATAGATATTTCTATGTATGTTATATACCATGTATAATACTCTTTCTCCAACACTATGTCACCAAAAGACGGCACAGTCGGGAAGATTAGTAGAAAAGTCTACTTTGCAGACTTCTTCTCTAGGGCGATGTCAGCAAAAGACGACACTGAAGGTAAGAAAGACTACTAGAAAAGTCTACTTTGTAGACTTCTCCAGGACGATGTCAGCAAAAGACGACCTTCAGTGGAAAAAAAAAAAAGTCCTAGAAAAGTCTACGTTGTAGACTTCTTCACTAGGACGATGTCAGCAAAAGACGACACTGAAGGTAAGAAAGACTCCTAGAAAAGTCTAGGTTGTAGACTTCTTCACTAGGACGATGTCAGCAAAAGACGGCACTGAAGGTAAGACTACTAGAGGAAGTTTACTCTGTAGACTTCTCCAGGACGATGTCAGCAAAAGACTGAACTGAAGGTAAGACTACTAGAAAAGTCTACTCTCTAGACTTCACCAGGACGATGTCAGCAAAAGACTGCACTGAAGGTAAGACTACTAGAAAAGTCTACTCTGCAGACTTCACCAGGACGATGTCAGCAAAAGACGACACAGTCGGGAAGTGTTCGCCGTCGCTGAGCTCGACAGGAGCGTTGCCAGGTCTACTGGCAAGCACCACACGCATGCCCGCAGCTAGTGCAGCACGAGCCTCTGAAATTAAATACCGGTAATTATTAATATATATTTACATTATATTATAATATATTTGGTAATTATATTTCATCTCGATATAATTCACACAAGACATCATACAATAATAAACTCTGACGACAATACATTCAGTGACAATGACATTTTCAGAATACTATCATTATATTTTTACTCAGGTGATCACACGAGACACGATGTGATTAAATATTGATTTACAGAAGAACTGAAATTATTATCATATTATTGTTACACGTGCAGTGACATTGAGCACTTCAGAATACTTATATTTTTGTCGCAAAGGTTCACACACGAAAACATTAAATTTTAAACCCAATTTTCCTGTGGAAACAGAAATTATTATTATGATGGTAACACGAGGGGGCGTCAAAAGGTTCGTGGAAAAGCAACAATTTATAAAAAATATAACTCAGTACTCACTGCAGTGAGTGACAGAGAGCGCATTTTCTCGTCGACGAAAACTTGAGGTCACGGACGGACGGACAGACAGACAAACAGACGGACATGGCGAGCACAATAGTGCATTTCATCCCTAAATGAGAAAATGCGCTAAAAATTAGATCGGTACTCACTGCAGTTAGTGACAGAGAGCGTAAAGACACGGACTGACATGACGAGCACAATAGCGCCTTTTTTCCATACACGAGAAAATGCGCTAAAAACAGTCCAAGTTATAAGGTTTACTATTCAACATATGCTGTATCTAGGCCGATACATTTATGTAAACACTGATAATAGCCTTCAAGTTCATCTGTGAATAAAAATCGCATTACCGAGAGTAATGCGATTTGAATCATGCTGTGGCAGCTCTTTTTACTGCATCAATTGACGGAAACTGGTAACTTTCAATGACTTTTCAGGTTTGGAAATGAAAATAAGTCGATGGGTCTATGAGATGAATGTCTAATGATTGCTCATCAAAATTCGCTTAGCTTAGCTCTTCGTTGACGCTCCGAGTATGAACGCCTTCAAGAACAGACTAGACGAAGCTATGCAGGAGCATATGTTCAGTCTTAGAATGCGCATCAAATTACGGACCAGGCAATAAGTCCAGCAGTTATCTCAATCGTCAGTTATGGAAAGATCGGGTTCCAAAGGCCGGATCCCTTGTGAATCAAGTCACGAAAAATTCAAGAATCGGCAACAGGCCATGGGCCTATTTCTGCAGTGCCGACACTTCTATTCTATCCTATTCTTGTCTGCCAAGCATCATGCGCGGTTGCATTGTTGTGGAAGAAGGCGCGCCGATGCAGCTTCCCCGGACGTTTTTGTGCGATATTCTTGGACACTTTTATCAAAATCTTTTCACCAACAAGAGCTGTAATGGTTTTTTCGCTCTCGGGGAAATCAATAAACGAGATCTAATCTTCATCCCGGAAGATAGTGGCCATAACCCTTCCTTTTTGAACGCTCAGATTTTCCTTTGGCTAACCCACTTTCACCCTTGGACAGCCACTGTTTCGATTGAGTTTTGTCCACGGGATTGTACTGGGAGATTGTACTGTTGTTGTTGTGGTTCCCCGGACTCACCTTTACAGGAGACCCCAAGTACTGGTAGACCAATTGTAGTGGTAGATTTTATTGGTAGATTGTACCGTTTCATACATGGTCATTATTCGCAGCAGCAATTGCGTAGTGTTCTCATCTCACGTGTTCAAAATTTCCACATAAAGATCTCCCCCTGATTCCCGCTGATCTGCCTCGAACCCACCGAGCGGAGAACTTGGTCAGTCCCAAACTGCCCAGCAGAATTGTGTGTGCACAGTGTGCGCAACCCACTGAGATGTTGAGTATATCTGCTACTGATACGTTGGCTATTCGCCTATCTTATTCAAGGAGATCACGAACATCATCAATGTTTTCCCCACAAACTGATGTGCTTGGCCTGCCTATGCAGGGTATCTTTGGTCTCATTTTTTTCGCTTCTGTGGGCGATTGATCCATGTTTAGGCAGCTTATTTTTTAGGGGCATCATCACCAGAAGTTTGTCCCAGAGAGTCAACGGTTTTGGTTGTTCTTCCACCGAAGCTTCACCATGAAATTGATGTTTGACCTGGCCTTGATTTTGGCAACTGTCATGTTGCTTGAACGTTGTTGCATTCAAAAAAAGCACCACGCGCTTGCAACATTCATTTAAGGGTGCAAATGAGAACAAACCACAAAATAATAAACCACACTAGCGCCTAAATTGAATTCTTTACATGCACCTAAATCAAAATGTTTAATAGGCTTAAATTTAAAGCTTCACATGCACCTATTTATATACAAGTGATCTGAGAATATTAAACAACTTATTACCTAATAATTGTGAGGAATGCTCCATGCCGCTACTCTCACCTGCCTATTAATAAATAATTGATCTGAGAATATTAAACAACTTATTACCTAATAATTGTAAGGAATGATCACTAGCGCTTGAATTGAATTCTTTTCATGCACCTAAATCGAAGTGTTTACTAGGCCTAAATTTAAATCTTCACATATACCTATTATTAAATAAGTGATCTGAGAATATTTAATTAATAATTGTAAGGAATGATCAAGGCCGCTACTCTCACCTGCCTATTAATAAATAACTGATCTGAGAATATTAAACAACTCATTACCTAATAATTGTGAGGAAGAATCCATGCTTGTACTCTCACCTGCCTATTAATAAATAATAAATATTAATAAATAATAATTAATTAATAAATAATAATAAACAACCAGCATTAACCTAAACAACTCATTACCTAATAATTGTGAGGAATGATCAAGGCCATTACCCTGACCTGCCACGATGTCGGTGAGGAAGAGGATCTTGTCGGCTGGAGTCGCGAGCGACGTGGCGATTTTGACGTAACTTTCAGATGCCGTCTTGGGGCCCACAGCTGTGTCGAAGTGACCATTCAGGAACTGAATATATTGTAATATAATTAGTAATATAATAATAATATCAGTACAACATTGTGAGTCCAGAATCTAACTTCACTGGGCAAATAGAAATAAAAAATTGACCCAACCTCGAGTGCTATCATTAGATAATCAAACAAAAAGTAACATCATATAAAATATGTGAAAATTGTTACTTTATGACAGAATTTTGGACGAGGTGGCGGGACAATCTTGAGTAAGATACTGCATAGACTGCCTAATTGTCGTAGTCTTATGAAAGCAATACTTGAGAGATAGTAAGAGTAATACTTGAGAGGTAATAAGAGTAATACTTGAGAGGTACAGTAAGAGTACAACACAAGTTACGTCTATATAGTACTAGCTAGAGTACCGTACTACCTGGGTGAGATCACCGTACTCGGTATGTGCAAATAGTAGTTTTTGTGCTGCCACGCTGCCCGACGAATAGATGTAAACTTGTACTCCCACATCCTCCCTCCACTGCTTCAGGCATGTCGGCACGTCCGCGTATACGCTGCGGGAGAAAGTGCTATGAGAAAACCGCACGAATATTACTTATGATCTTATTAGCGCATTTTATCATTTATGGAAAAAAGGCGCTATTGTGCTCGCCATGTCTGTCTGTCCACCCGTGACTTCACGTTGTCGACGAGAAAATGCGCTCTCTGTCACTCACTGCATGAATACTGAGTTACATTTTATTTATTATATATGCCTGGCTACTTTTGTTTACGTTGGAAAATACAAAGCTTAATCGTCATTCATGAATTTTATGATAAACTATCTCTTCCTTCCATTCACTTAACAAACATTATACATTACCGGCAATGGGGTTAAACCTTTGTCGGCAGATACATTAATTGTTATAAATGCCATTCGTATCTCGAGGCCTGATAACGAATGTTACCCCAAGTACACAAACGGTTAAAAGAATAACAATGTCACTAGGTTTAACCCTCTACCGCCTGACACGAGTAACCGGAGCAATATTGTCACGCGCCTACTTCCAAAAAAGGATAGGTTCTAGTGATCGCAAAATGACTTGCACTGATGGTTGCCGCCACGTACGACAACTTTAAAATGTTCTCTGTTGCGTACAAATGTCAACCTCAATAAAGTTGAAACTTATCTTCCCGGAGAGTGATATGTGGCGGTAGAGGGTAAAGATCTTAACAGATGATCATTAAGCAGCCGAATTTGAAGTGACAAAATTTAAATAGGCCAGGAATAGTTTTAAATAATTTGTTTTGCGGCAAGATTGCACCCACAGTCATTATAATGTAAGAATGTTAAGTGAAAGATCCTAAATCAAACGCCTAGTTCAAGTCAAAATTACACATAATTATTGAATTAAATGTTTTTCCACCATATTCGTTCGTTAAATATTCTTGGTCATGTACTATGAAAACCTTTAGTAGCTTCTCATGATCATTCGTTTTCCGTGTACTGGATACCATTTTTTTCGATCCAGGAATATATTAAAATCACTGCATTGAAATTTTCGGAAATACCGGTATTAAACATATTTGTTACTCCGTGAAGAACTCAGGCGGCTACGAGCGCCAAAATTTGGTTTTAAATTTCAATAAACTCACTGTCCCTTGAGTCGTCCATCTTCGTATCCTTTCTTCCATATTTTTCCCTGCAAGTTCTTCAAACATGGCACTTTCCTGTCCTGAGCAATCATATCCTGCACCAGCTTCACCACTCGATCAATCACGCAATCCTGGTTGTCGTTTCCTACATCAGCAAGATTCTCCCCACTATCTTCTTCCGCCTGTGGGAATTATGTCAAATTGAGAATATGCAATTAAATAAAGATTATAGTTAACTACGGATCATATTTAGGTATGAATATAGAGCATACTGTTACATACAGATCATACAGTTACACACAGATCACACAGTTACATACAGATAATACAGTTACACACAGAGCACACTTACATACAGATAATACAGTTACACACAGATCACACAGTTACATACAGATCACACAGTTACATACAGATCATACAGTTACATACAGATCACACAGTTTCATACAGATCAGACAGTTATATACAGATCATACTTACTGCAATTCATAAGAATTTAACCGACACAAATAGTTAAGCACTTTGTAAACAATAATGACTGAAAAAATTACAAGTGAATTTTCAACCCAATATTATCATTGGAGAATACACTTCAACAACTTGGAAGTAAACAGCGAGATGTTATCGGGGTCATAATTTGACTAATAATCAGAATACCAATTAATCGTTAGAATCAATATATAGGTACCCAATATAACTGTCAAAATTTTTAATCAGGAACTCTTTGTAGCCTCAAAATCCAAAGAAAGAACCAAGATGTTAAGAAATTAAAGTATACATCATAAAAATTTATAAATATAAGCTTCAAGTGAAAGCATGACACGTATACAGCATAGAATCCCTCACCTTTCGCGGATGTTACAGACCACAGCCGTGAGAGGCGAAATTAGTGATGGGGAATTAATCGCCTTATAGCACTTGCATCAGCCTAACCTGCAACAGCATCAACCTAATCTGCAATAGCATTAACCTAACTTGCAACAGCATCAACATAACCTGCAGCAGCATTAATCTAACCTGCAGCATTAACCTAACTTGCAACAGCATCAACATAACCTGCAGCAGCATTAATCTAACCTGCAGCATTAACCTAACCTGCAACAGCATTAACTTAACCTGCAACAGCATCAACCTAACCTGCAACAGCATCAACCTAACCTGCAACAGCATCAACATAACCTGCAGCAGCATTAATCTAACCTGCAGCATTAACCTAACCTGCAACAGCATTAACCTAACCTGCAACAGCATTAACCTAACCTGCAACAGCATCAACCTAACCTATAACAAAATTAAATACATAATCAGCCTAACCTGTCGCAGCACTGCGTTTGCATCGTCTCTCGTCTCCCGGATTTGCCAGTTGTCCTGCAGATGGCGTTTCACATGCGATGCCGCGAAAGGGAACAATTCGTCCTGCAACAAGAAATATTATACCACAGTAACCACACATGTTCTCGCATCGCTTTAGTCGTTAAGTAACTAAAGTAAGCCTTATATTTTATATCCTTATGAACTCGTTTAACGCCAGTTGATCAATTTACTCAACGATCAACTTCATCTCGGTATCCATAGTGACGTACCGTAGTCCATACCTCGATTGAAAACTTCAAGTATTACATTAATGTTAATTATTTAATGAAAGTATATTACAGCCCTATCTTCTGACACATGGTAGATTTCAACAGTGAATTTGGGAAAATACAAACGTACCGGTAGTTCCACAGGAAGTTCTTGACGAAAATTGTCATTAAATGCTTGGTTTAAAAATCAGTGTGATTAAGTTTTTTGAGAATTATATCAAAATTCGTATTTGCAATTTGGAGAAGCAATTTGAATTTTTTTTAGTCTGAATAACGGATGAATTTAACGATAACACCAAAGACACCATTCAGAAGTAACAATATTGCACGTTTAACTTTAGGACGTAGCCTACCTAACTTACGTAGGAGACGTGATACTCAATTTATATAGTAGACGCGATAGCTACTCAATCTTTATTTAGTTACGTAAGAGACGTGATACTTAGAGACAAAAACTTCAATCTATGATTTAAATCTCGATACCACATAGAAATTGAATATTGAAGGATTGTCACAGAAAGATCTTCTAGCAGCTAATTTTGAAGTTGTTACAAGGTTAGTGTTATATCTAAAAGCTGGAACAAAATTCGAAGTCAACAGTATGTGACACCTGAGACAAACCGCAGGCTTCAAACATGACGATTTACAAACCTTAACAAATTTGATGGAAGTTGTGGTTCCTTCGACATCCAAAATCACACAGTCTACACAGAAAGTCAAGTCAGAAGATTTATCCATTCTAATGAGAATTTAAATCTTGAAATGAAGCTAATAATGAAATGTGTCTTAGCCTCTGTCACCAAAACGTGAACCGACACACACCCTTTCTCACTGCTGATCGCTAACTGACTTCTGAGCGAGCTGCCGAGCTCAGTGCCGCGGACTCTGCGTCTCGCCGGTCTCGGGTTACCAGATGAGAGCATTAGAAACGGCCAAATATTGTCACAAAAACATAAGAAAACAGCCAGTATTAAATAATTACTTCGTTAATTTGTGGTAAGCTGTGCAAACTTAATTTTTCGTGTCTTATAAAAAGGTTTAAATAATTTTCTATTGATTATAATAATACCACTAGTTTATAGCCTTCAAATATTTTCGCTGGCCATCGCAATCAGAAAAAGGCCCAAATTGTCGAATTTGACCAGAAAGGCCCATCTGGTTACGCTGGCGCCAGACTGCAAGCCTGTAGGCGAAGGCAGTCACGGCTTGCCATGTGAGCATTTTCAATGAATGACCTATGCAGCGAATGCACGTTAATGAATCGCCATCCATGAAGTGAAGCGTATGCAAAAATTAGCACATACTGTATGTAGGGGATACACATTAAGTACTTACATATAATTACTAAAAAATCATATATTTAGGAAACCCTCCTCGTTTCACGCGAGTTCCTCTCGCACAAGATATGTCAGTTCTCAAGCTTTCTATACGGAATATTTGGGTAGAATAGAATAGAAGTGTTGGCACTGAAGAAATAGGCCCATGGCCTGTTGCCGATTCTTGAATTTTTCGTGACTTGATTCACAAGGGATCCGGCCTTTGGAACCCGATCTTATGTCACTTATTTGATGAGAACAAAACATGATGAGAGAAGCGACGACTGGGGCAAAAGTAAGTTAGGCAGGACAAATCACGGCCTCAGTAGGAATTATTGATTTTTAATGAGGTCCACTACCTAGAGCATTCTGAAAAATTTTACTAAGTTTGATGCGTTAACACGTTTGTTTTGATGGTGTATCCATTCTAAAGGCTGGCAAGGTTTCTAAATAAAATGTTCCTCAAATTTGGTAGTTCGTCCATGAAGTGATAATTCGTCAATAAAAATCATCCATGAAAAGTGTCCATGAAAAATGTCTGGACGAAGTAGTAAACGTAAAATTCCTTTCATGTAGAATACTATACTTGGTTACTGTCGTTTGCGATTATTCATGAGCAACAGGATAATAGTAAGTGAATAAATTTTTCTAATGTGATGATTTGTTGTAATACGAAAAATCATCCCTACTGAATTTTGAAGCAAATTAAAGTTTATCGAATTAAATGAAAATCTTAACGTTAGCAACATTCAATGACCACGTGAAGACGTTATCACTCTCGCAGAAATGAGTGTGACTTTGTCTACGAAAATATATTCTTATTATTTTAAACGAAAGTTAAATGGAAGTTTAACGCAATATGTAAAATGTGGATTCGATGAGGTATTTCTTATTAATTATAATATATCAGGTTTATTGTTATTAACGGGTATACGGTATGATGGAATTCTAAACTTGCAAAGATTATCGACCCTGCTTGTTATGCTTATGTTTATCAATTATCATTAACTTAAGAAATATTTCTTACGAAAAATTGTTGGCTACTTCAACAACGCATCTCAATTATAGTCCGAAAAAAATAGTATTGGTTTAAAATTATTTTCCACAATGTTTTTCGCATTCATAAAATTTGGTAACGAATGCTAAGGTCACTAGACAAAATTTTGATTGTGTGATTATTACATTATTATTATTAGAAAAAATTGATTATTAGAAAGAAAATGTTGTCAATCCTCCACTATTGGCGAGATGAAAAAAATGCAGTGAACGCCTCGGAAATTCGATATTCACACTCAGGTAATGAGCGAGTGGGTAGCGATGCAATATTTCATCGCATTTTCAATATAAATAGCGATGCAATATTTAGCTCGTGTGTATAAAATTATCTTGACTAAGATATTTCTAGTTGGACGTTTGTTATTTGGGTTTGAGTTAGTTGTAAGTTTATTTGGCCGGCTGCAGTTTCCCAACATTTTTTGCAATAGTGTCGGCAGCCTTCCGCATTTCTTCGAATCCAACTTTGAAGATAGAGGCTAAACTCAAACCTCTAGTCCGATTCAGAAACAGCCCAACAGACAGATCCATTACGACTGCCAACGACGCCACACCTTTAAGCTTTGTCCTCCACGTCTACGTTATGGAGTGAGACCTTCAAGCGTGCGTCTCGTCTGAGGTGGCGGCCTCGAGGTGCTGGGACGATCTGGGGACTGCGGCATCAGCTCGTCTTCTCACGGAGGACGGGTCTCTGCGAGAGCTGTGGAGAGGACCGGATGCTGCAGGTTGGTTGTCCGTCACTTAAGCTCAGGGTGTTGTGGCAACTTGTAGCCCCGGCCGGTTTCCATTATGGATAACCGTTTCCCCTTCACTACTCTCAACCCAAATAATAAAACCCGTCTTGTCTTACAACTGAAATATATGCTATATACTTTTGAAAGCCAAATTTGTTGTATAAATCTCTTATTCTAAGATTATCATTTAAATTTAAAGAGCATAGCTGCCAGGTTCGTAAATTTAAGATTTAATATTTAGAACCCTAACATTCAGCTTGTTCCAATTTTTTCTTTTGGCTTTCGTTCATTAAAATCAGTTGGCATTTATTTTGACAGGATGGGCTGCACGGAGCTTAGCGTGTCAGTTTCCCTGTGCTGCCTGGCTGGTGTACACTAGCCAGGTGAAGCTCCTGCTCCCGATTCAGAGGACTTCCACCGGGCAGCAGCTCGCGCCTATCGTCTTTGTTTCATTTTTTGTGTTTGATCGACACAAATTCGGTTCAATAAATTCAGTTTAAGTGAATAGTTTTCTTTACATTATTCCATACAAGTGTTATTAACTCTTTCCTTCCGCTGAAAAGGGAGGTCGCGCTAAAAGTTTTGTACAGCGTGTGGGTCATTTTGACCCGGAAAAATAGCATATCAGTGCTACTTAGAATAAATGTATCACTATTTAACAATATGAACCATTAATTTTTGGAGAATTTAGAGCTCTATTCCGGCCCCGCAATTCCAAAACATGTGTTGTACTGAGGAATTAATATCTGTTTCATTTAAGACATTTTGGCATCTGTTGTTAATAACGTAATGTCGTAAATTTTATCAATATATAGCTTTCATTTTGTTTTCATCTTGCACTCATAAAAGCTTCGGTTATTACAAAATTAACTTTGAGGTGTAACAATTCCAAGTGTATAAAGGTATAAGGTATGAAAATTTAACACTATCCATAGTTCTATGTATCTCAGGCAAGGTAATCTTCAAACAAAATTACATATAAGTTTAACACCATCATAACAAATTAATTAGAATCAATGCGATACCTTGTAGAAGAGTACGGAAATGAGGTAAAAAATCAGCATGTACAAGTAATAGTTTGGTGTTTAATCTAAAGTTCTCTGATGATAGGCAAAGATTTTAGTTTTTGGAAAATAATAAGTATGGCCAAAATTGATTTTTATTATAAAACAGGACAAAAATACACACAAAGCCTTTTTTGTTAAAATATTGTAACTTAATTTATAACGATCTCAACTTAGAATCACATTTTCGTTTCGTTGCTGTCTTCACAATAAACGAAAAATCTGCCTTCACTAAACTTTATGCTTTTTTTAAAGTGACCTCACATTCATCATTCGAAGCGACAATTGTAAATTTCACAATTTCCTCATTTAACAAATTATCATTTTCTTTATTGTCTACAGATACGTAATGTCTACGTAAAATGTCTTTAATGCACGAGTAAATGTATCTAAATGTCTGGTGACGAGCGTTACCGTCGGTAGACGAAAGGTAAAAGTGCTTATTACTTTAAGTATTAGCCGATATTGGAAGCGGCAATTAAGTATTTTTTACTTCGAAATTCGGGGTAATTTCTTTCAATTTTTAGCCATAATTTTGGAACATTTTTACAAAATTGATAATGAAAAATAAAAATTGATAATTTTTTTTCAATTTTTAGCCCGATATACGAAGTGGAAAATACTTGCCTCTTGCACCATCGGCTAATACTTTCCCCATGTATTAATGCTTTAAACAACATTGAGATAGAATCAAACATTTAATAATGAAAGTTCCTCATTTAAATATCAACTTCATTCTTAAGCAAGCAACACCGGCTTTACCTCAAATCGCACTGTGTATATACTGTAGTGAGATGGGCCAGTAGCCTACTGGCCACCGCTACTGTCCCCGTTTAAACGCACATTATCGAAAACGTTAAAATGAAATCATGTAATAAAAGCTCTTCATTTAAATATCCTCGGTATTCTTGAGCAAGCAACACCGGCCTTAGCTCAACTCTCACAGTACAGCCCGACGCAAAAGGTTAGCCCCACCCCTTTAAAACATCATAACACATCGAGTTTTGTGAGTTTTATTGTGCAAATGGTGGCAAACGAATCGTCTTGGTCTCAGTAATCAAAATACAATAGACTGTTTTGAAAATGTAATTAGTAACGGGAGAAAATGAAAAACACATGTTTTTGCCCCGACGCTAAAGGTTAGCCCCACTTTGTACACTTTGACATTTTAGGCAAAACAAAACAAACGTCAGCTGCAAAACTAAAAATTATGCACCGATATGCTCCCCGTTGGCTTTGTAGACATCCAAGCACCGCTTTTTCATGCCCTGAGACAATCTACGGAGGTAGTTGGGGTCCAGATTGGACCAGGCGGCTTGAATGGCCAACTCGAGTTCTTCCTTCGTGTCATACTGCTTCCAGCAGGCGTAGACGATGCCAGCCATGTACCCCCAGACGTTCTCAATGGGATTCAGATCGGGGGACTTGGCTGGCCAGTCCATAACCCGGACTTTGGCACGCTTGAAGAAGGCCTTGGTCGTGCGCGCTGTACAGATTGAGGCATTATCTTGTTGGAAGATGGCGCTGCGGCGAATTCGGTGGCGGATGACGGGAAGTAGATGGTCCTCGAACGTTTGGACATAGTCGTCCGCGCACTGGTTGCCTTTGAGGGAGACGAGCTCGCTCGTTCCGTTTGCATGAAAGGCTCCCACACCATTACACTGCCCCCGCCATTTTGGCGGCTAAAAGCTGCCTTTGGGTCATTCCTGCGGTAATGCCAGTAGTACTTCAGACCATCTGGGCCATCCAAATTCCATTTTTTCTCATCAGAAAAGATGGTTTTGGCCCAGGTTTCATCACTAGTACATGCATACTTTGTGCCCCAGGCGACCCTGGCATGCTTGTGAGCATCGGTCAATTGGGGGGCCTTGTTCATCTTCACGTATTGTAAGATGCCGGAGGACGCGAGGGTGCGAGAGACGGTAGACTTGGAGACATTGAGCTCCAACTTTTGGACTAGTTTGGGTGCGCTCAAGTCGCCGGGCGCCGTAACTCAGAAGAGGCGACGCGTGTCACGGGCCGACATCTTCTTGGGGCGGCCTTTGGTGTGCCGCTTTCCGTAGTTCACGGGGTCCTTGAGATAGTTGGAGATGGCTTTGCGGCTACACCCCACTTATGCCTCCATTTGACGCAGGCTACGACGCTCGCCCTCAGGCAGCGCCATCAGGGCTTGAATGGCACCTTTACTGATGTCGAGCTCCTGCCTCACTTGTGAAGCTGTTAGCCTCTTCACCAGGAAGAGGACGATGAAGTTAACGATGCAGGTGACCATGATGGCCCCGATGAAGTGCCAGGCCATCGTCATGGTCTCAAGGAAGAGGTAGAAATGGTCCTCTGGAGGCCACCGCTTGTCGTTATCCATGTTCCAGAGGATGAAGTCTGCTTGGATCCACAGTCCACCCTGACATGAAATATATTTTTAGATGGAAATTAATTTTATATATTTATTTTAAGATTGAAATTAATTTTATATATTTATTTTGTAGATTGAAATTATTTTTATGTATATGAAATTAATTATCCATTTTAGATTGAAATTAATTTTATAGATTTATTTTACATGTTGAAATTATTTTTATGTATATGAAATTAATTAAATATTTTTAGATTGAAATTAATGTTATAGATTTATTTTATAGATTGAAATTATTTATATATATATGAAATATATTATATATTTTTAGATTGAAATTGATTTTCAATATACCACATAACTCACCAGGTAGATGAGTAGAAAGCCACGTATAATGGGGTAGACAGGCTTGTCCATGTTCACGGTCTCTGCGTACATAGTAACTGCCAAGAGGAACCAAAGTATACCCATTTGTAGGTGTACCTGCGGTACATGAGGTATTAGTACATGTGTACCTGCGATACATGAGGTATTAGTACATGTGTACCTGTGATACATGAGGTATTAGTACATGTGTACCTGTGATACACGAGGTATTAGTACATGTGTACCTGTGGTACATGAGGTATAGTACATGTGTACCTGCGGTACTTGAGGTATCAGCACAAGACGTGTATCTTTTTCAATATGATTTAGATTTTTTATTGACTGTTAAGTTTTCTCCTGAACTCAGCGTGATCACAAATAACATGAAATTATCTTTGGAAACAAATAATGGACACGTGATGCTGTTTATAAATTCCATTCATAAATTATATTGTGTATCTTTGGCAAAAACATTTAATTAATTAACTAAAACATTGCCTAATAAATTAAAACATTTAAATAATTAATTAGGCAGTAATTAATTACTTAAAACATTTAATTAATTAATTAAAACATTTAATTGATTAATTAAAACATTTAATTAATCATGTAAACAATTAATTAATTATATTATTTAATTAATCAAGGTTTACTAACCTGCTGGTTGAGGGAGTCCTGGTGCTTACTATGCGCGAGCATAAGCATGGTTATGAGCATGAACGTTGCTCCTGATACTATGTACTCCAGACCATCCACCACCAGGTACCTGCACGTACAATTACTGCACACTCACAGGAATAAGTGGGACTTTGTCCCAATGATGATGCACTTTTTACACCCTTCCTGCCCTGCACGTACAATTACTGTACACTCACAGGAATAAGTGGGACTTTGTCTCAATGATGATGCACTTTTTGCACCCTTCCTGCCGGTCATTCTGATCCAGCTTGACCCGGTGAAAGGACGTATCAGTGATACGTGCATGTAGTGTGTCATTATTTTTAGCGCATTTCCTCATTTATGAAAAAAATGCGCTATTGTGCTCGCCATGTCCGTCTGTCCGTCCGTCCGTCTGTCCGTCCGTCCGCCCGTCCGTCTGTCCGTCCGTTCGTCCGTCTGTCTGTCTGTCTGTCCTTCCGTCTGTCTGTCTGTCTGTCTGTCTGTCCGTCCGTCCGTCCGTCTGTCTGTCCGTCTGTCTGTCTGTCCGTCCGTGACCTCAAGTTTTCGTCGACGAGAAAATGCGTTCTCTGTCACTCACTGCAGTGAGTACTGAGTTATATTTTTTTAAATATGAGCCATATATTTTTCAGAGTGCAAGGGGATCTTGTAGCGATAAATGAAAAAATTTATATTTTTAATATTTGTAAGTTAATATATTCAAAAGTTTAAGTAGCTATCAAAATTTGACCAGACGACCTATATTTTATGATGATAAAAGAATGACGACGGTAATAACTTAAAAATAAATAAAATTCCGGAGTTGATATTAAGAACGGAATAAAAATTTAATTATGGCATTGGATAAGAATTGATAATTGACATGACATTACACTAAATTACTAAACAAATCTGAGCCTGAGAGAGGTTAATTCAATTTATTAATTAAATTAAAACTATTAGCTTTAATTGTTGAATCTAATACAAATTACATCGAAACAATTTTGTGGCTAACCGAAAAAAAATTTTGATCCAAGTATTAATAAGGGCTAATTTTTGAATAAAAAATTTTACACAAATTACATACTACAATTAAGACGTGGAAAAAATTTTACATTTTATTATTAATTAATATATTAGATTTTTAGTGAACAATCTCGCCATCTCACCGATAATGGTTGAGTATAATAGTAATTTTTGGCATGGAATTTAATTAAATAATTCAAATAAATAAGAGTTCCCTCTCAACAAAATTTTACTATTAATATTTAAATAAGACAGTTAATTTTCAACTAAATTAAATTATTAATAAATAAAGTTTATTAATTTTACCGATAATGTTTGAGGATAACAGCGGCTGGTGCCATGCCTGTCAAGACCGCAGACGTCATGTGGACGTAGTCTTCTACGTTGCGCATCTGGCCAGGCTTCTCATGGAACAGATGGTTCTGGATCTCCACTGTAACAGATGGATGAGTTACAGCTCATGGAACAGATGGTTCTGGACCTCCACTGTAACAGATGGATGAGTTACAGCTCATGGAACAGATGGATGAGTTACTGCTCATGGAACAGATGGTTCTGAACCTCCACTGTAACAGATGGATGAGTTACAGCTCATGGAACAGATGGTTCTGAACCTCCACTGTAACAGATGGATGAGTTACAGCTCATGGAACAGATGGATGTGTTACTGTCNGATATTATCGGAAACCTATGATTTAAGCTGTTTATGCAAAGTGTTACGATGGGTAATATTCGAAATAAGATTGTGAGTAAATGAATAGGTTTTATTCAGGGGTAATTGGTTAATTTTGTTAGACAAGATTCGGGGTAAATGGTTGTGGTGGCCTATGATTTAAGCTGTTTATTCAAAGTGTGACGGTACACCTATTATCTATACTACTAATATACCATCTGGCAACGCTGCTACTGAGCGACAGAGCGAGCCGCCGGCCCGCCCGCGCGAGCGCGGACTCCGCGTCTCGCAGGTCTCCGCGGAGCGCCAGGCATGGTTACCTCGGGCTGCCAGATGAGAGCATTAGAAAACGGCGAAATCTTGTCTCAAAAACGTAAGAAAACAGCCAGTAATAAATAATTACTTGGTTAATTTGTAATAAGCTGTACAAATTTGATTTTTCGTGTCTTATAAAAAGGTCTAAATCATTTTCTATTGAAAATAAAAATACCACAAGTTTATGGCTTCAAAGATTTTCGCTGGCCAACGCAATCAGAAATAATATGCGTTTTAAAAATTATTTTTTAAAGACAACACTTCTGAACAATCCAGATTCTTGGATGTTACATATGTACAATGAATTTCTAATTTTATTTTCAAATATTGAAAAAAATTATTAATCAAAAATTTTTTAGGATATCAAAATTTTGTAAATTATCAAAATTATTCATTCTGTCAACTGATTCATGCATTGTCTCTGACTTTATGCCATTATGCAAAATTTCAGATCGATTGGACAGGTCAAATTGTGTCATATATGGATTTGTAGCTGACGAAATTATTTTTAGATTTTTTTATAATGAATTTTTTTTATAATTTATAAAATTATTTATTCTGTCAATTGATTCATGCATTGTCTCCAACTTTATACGCAAGTGTGCCAAATTTAAGATAGATTGGACAGGTAGAAGTGTGTTAAATATCGATTATAAGATTTGTAGCAGACAGACAAACAGACAGACAGACAAACAAACAACAAGAACTGAAGTTAAAGAGAAGTGTTGCAAAAAGCCCAAATTGTCGAATTTGACCAGACAAAGGTCTATCTGGCTACACTGACGCCAGACTACAAACCTGCAGGCGAAGGTAGTCACGGCTTGCCATGTGAGCATTTTCAATGAATGTGAATGACCTATGTAGCGAAGGCACGTTAATGAATCGCCATCCATGAAGTGAAGCGTATGCATAAATTGGCACATATGTAGGGGATCCACATTAATTAATTGGAATATATTACTCGAAAATCATATATTTAGGAAACCCTCTTCGTTTCACGCGGGTGCCTCTCGCAAGAAATTTGTCACTTCTCAAGCTTTTTACTCGGAATATTTGGGTGTTACGTCACTTATTTTGATGAGAGCAAAACATGATGAGAGAAGCTACGACTGGGGCGAAAGTTAGTTAGGCGGGACAAATCACGACCTCCCTTTTTTATTAATACAGGAAACCTAACTTCATGTTCAACTCTGCCAGCCATAAATCCATCAATACTGAACGGATTTCATTCAAATTTGAAAAATAAGTAGATTTTATCAGTGCGCTGTGAACAGAATTATTTCAGATTTTTACATCGATTCCTTTTTTATCATCATTAGTATCAAGATTATCGTCAGTGAGTAAACTTTTCTATCATGACGATTTGTTGTAATACGAAAAATCATCCCACTGAATTTTGAAGTAAATCAAAGTTTATCGAATTAGATGAAAATCTTAACGTGAGCAACGTTACCTTCAATAGCATAGCATAGTGAAGAATAGGGCTGCATGATGTGGCCTGTCGCCGATTCTTGTATGTACTTTTCGTGACTTGTCCACAGGAGATCTAAATACAGGCCCTTTGACCGGATCCTTCCCAAACTGACGATAGTTTGAAATAACTATTAGACTTCCACCGGGTTCGATATGGTACTTGGCATTTCAAGTCTGTACATATATTTTTCCATAGCTTTATCTAGTATTTTCTTGAACGCGTTCTTACTCGGAACGTCAACAATGCAATTGGGGAGGCTGTTCCACGTACATGTCGGTGAGTCCGAGCGAGAAGAAATGTTGTCGCTTGGATGAGTTGCAACGCAGTTTTTTTAGTTTATAGCCGTGGCCCCTGGTGTTGGTTCTTGTTTCAATTTCTAGTAATCCTTTGGGGACCTTGTATAAACCATGAATATACTTGTATACTTCAATGAGGTCCCCACGTAGACGTCGATAACAGAGGCTTGGAACCTTCATAATCTTTAATCTTTCTTCATAGGACTTGCCCTTCAAGCCCGGAATTATCCTTGTTGCGCCTCTTTGAACACTCTCAATTAAATTTTGGTCCTTTTCAAATCTAGGTGGCTACACGGCGTTTCTAAACTCTAGATTCGAGCGCACGACTGCAACAAACAACTGTGTCAAGGGATACGGTTTGTTTAACGTATGGGGTGGATGCAATACAACTTCAGGAGTAAACAGAAACATTTATTAACAATAGATCAAAGAATGCTAAATGAAGGGGAGTCAACTTCAGGCGCTACGCGACGCAAAACTACGACAAAGTGACGGAAAAGTTACGGTAGCAAAGAACAGTTACATTAAGTGCAGTAAAGTAAAGCTGAGTTACGTAAAGTAATGGAATGTAACCCGGATAATCTAAAGTATAATATGGCAACGAGATTTGAGCTTGCGGGACGGTAGGTTTGGCCGTTCAGGTCCGACCTGTCGAGATTGAACAGTCATGTAGGTATTGCTTTCGTTGGCATTTCAAGGTCTATTTCAAAGTGGATAATTCATCTTAAAAAATATAGTACAAAATTATAGAACCAGAATTAGCCGTTGGTTAACAAGCTCACCTGTCGAGTGTGGGCGGACAAGATCTAAGTCTACAATCGGCCCTAGCGTCGAGTTTAGCTTTGGAATGCAGAACAAGTGACTTTAAGAAGAGCGGATCGCGTGCCCTTACAAACTGCTTCATCGCTTTTGCATCTAGGAACTCTTAGGAGCGTCTGATTATTCCAAGAAGTTTGTTGGATGTATTAGCTTGCGTTTCAACATGCTTAGAAAATTTCAGCTCCTTGTCGACATAAACTCCGAGATCTTTTTCCACTCTAGACTTTTCTATCATTACTCTCTCGTTGTAACCATGTCATGTCTTCTCATACTGTTATCTTGCTGTTCATTGTTCTTCCCGAGATGAAGTACTTTACACTTGTCAGAATTAAACCGCAGCTGCCACGTATCAGCCCAGTTAACTAAACTGTCAAGATCATCTTGCAATTGCACTTTATTTGAGGCCTTCATTGTATTATAAACTTTTGTGTCGTCGGCATACATGGAGCACATGCTGGATACTACTTCTGGCAGATCTTTTATAAAAGCAACTAAAAAAATAGGCCTCAGGACGCTTCCTTGTGGCACGCCACTGCGCACTGATGCCCAGTCTGACACGGTTCCGTTAATACTTACACGTTGTCGTCTACCTACTAGGAAATCTCTGATCCATTGGAGTACGTTTCCGTCAGTTCAAAAGACTTCACTTTACGCAACAGCCGCTCATGCGGAACACTGTCAAATTCTTTGGCTAAATCGAGCCACTATATATATAGCCACGTGAAGACGTTATTACTCTCGAAATGAGTGTGACTTTGTCTACGAGAATATATTCTTATTCTTTTAAACGAGAGTGAAATGAGAGTTTAACGCAAAATGAAAAATGTGGATTTGATAGGGTATTTTTTTTTAATTATCATATAGTGGCTTTATTAATATTATTATTAGGATGCGGTATGATCGGAGTCTAAACCTGCAAAGATTATCCATCCTGCTTGTTATGTTCATCAGTTATCATTAATTAAACTACAATAACTTGAGAAATATTCCTTATGAAAAAAGTTGGCTGGCTCAACAACGCGTCTCAATTATCTCCGGAAACAATACTATTGGTTTTAAATTATTTTCCACAATGCCACAAAATTTTGATTGTGTGGTTGTTAGATTATTATTAATGTTAGAAAGAAAATTAGTCATTAGGAGAAAAATCTTGTCAGTCCGTTACTATCGGCGAGATGAAAAAATGAAACAAACGACTTGGAAATTCGACATCCACACTCAGAGTAATGAGCGAAACTTTGTCCAGTTAGCGATGCAATTTTTAGCTTGTGTGGGTCATCGTGACCCAGTTTGGCCAGGAAAAAGGGCGAATCAGTGCTAAGTGGAATAAATGTATCACTATTTAGCAATATGAACTATTACTTTTTGGAGAATTTAGAGCTCTATACTGCGCCCCGCAACTCCAAAACAATTGCTGTTTTGATGAATTAATTTCTCTTTCATATAAGACATTTTGGAATCTGGTGTTAATAACTTAATGTCGTCAATTTAATCTATATATAGGTTTCAGTTTTTTTTCATCTAGCACTCATGAAAGCTTCGTATATTATAAAATTAACTTTGAGGTGTAACAATTCCTAGTGTATAAGGGTATAAGCCTATAAGGTATACAAATTTAACACTATCCACAGGTCTCTGTATTTCAGGCAAGGTAATCTTCAAACAAAATTAAATTTAAATTTAACACCATCATAACAAATTAATTAGAATCAGTACGATACCTTGTAGAAGAGTACGAAAAATGTGTTACAAAATCAACATATACGAGTGATAGTTTTGAATTTAGGCAGGAGTCTTCTGATGATAGGCAAAGATTATAGTTTTTGGAGAATGATAAATTTGCCCAAAATTAATTCTTATGATAAAACAGGACAAAAATACACACAGAGCATTCTTGTTAAAATATTGTTACTTGATTTATAACGATCTCAACTTAGAATCACATTTTCATTGCTGTCTTCACAATAAACGAAAAAAATGAGCCTTCACTAAACATTCATGCTTCTCTAAAATGTCTTTAATGTTATATGTATTTAAATGCCCGGTAACGAATGCTGCCGTCGGTAGACGGACGAAAGGTAAAAG